CGCTGCTTTAATTAGTAATATTCGTGTAAGCGCTACATTCATTTCAAAGCGCTTATTCTTTCACGGCAAAGCTATAATTAAATGAATGTATATGCAGAAAAAAAAAAAACTACAAGTAGAAACTGTAGTATATCGATTAGTGTACAAATACATTTCTCCTACTCCCATAGCTTGATCTCACTGCCTCTACCTGCAGTAACCAGTTTGCTGCTCTCCTGGGGGTGGGCAGCAATGCACCGAAGGGCACTATCGTGGGCCTTGAAGCTACTCTTGAGCTTACAAGTCTTCCAGTCCCAGAAATAGGCATTTCCACCTGTGTCTCCAGACATGAGGTATTTGCCGTCCGCCGAGAAGTTGACCTCAATGGCATATCCTGCTGAAGATGCACCTGTGAAGGTCTTCTTTCGGTTCTGTCTGAACCGGTCCTTGGCAGCAAACACCACAATCTGGTTGTCCATACTCTGAGCAGCCACGTGGTTGCCAGAGGGATGAATCTGTACAGAAGGCATAGAGTGCTGAGCAGGGTCAGCAATATATTTGATGGGGACGTTAATTTGGAGATCCCAGACTCGCACCGTCTTGTCGTCTGATGTGGTCATGAATCTCCGGTTCTCGTCCACAAATGTGATTGTGTTCACAGGTCCCAGATGATGGTCATACGTCTGGATAGTCTCCTTCGTTGTGATGTCCCAATGGATGATCTTACGGTCAGCCATGGCAGCAAGAAACTCATTGTTGTTGTTGGGGTTGAACTTGACCGCGTTGGGGATCTTGCCCGTGGAGAACTGAGCCAGACACTCCCCTGATTCTGTATCCCATAACTTGACACTCTTGTCGTATGATGCAGACAGGAACCTCGTACCATCATTGTTAAAAGATATGTCTTTAACAGCACGCGAGTGTCCAGAGTATGTGCGGATGAGCTCGCGCTTGTGGTAAACGTCCCATAGCTTGATTTTAGAGTCGTTACCACAAGACAACAGCAGATGACCAGCCTTGGGGAACAAACGTAGTGCGTTCACACCACCAGTGTGACCAGTATACGTATGGGCCTTTCGGGTAGGAACATGCCACTCGCTCTCCCCAGGATCACGTGTCAGCTTGATACCCAAATCTTGGGGAATGTGCATGAAAGATCGTCCCAGGTAGTCTTTGCCCTTGACATGTAGAATAGAGCTCTCCTTGACGGTTTCAGGCTCAGTCTCGGCATCTGCAATGACAACATTGGTGTTGTCCTCAACGTCATTCACGCTGTCGTCCTCCTCTTCCTCCTCACTAGTGCTTTCTTCGTCGTCATATGCTGCCCATGGTCCCTTGTATGCCTTCTTGCCTTCCAAGACACCCACCTCTCCCTTTTTGTGGCGTTTTAACGGCCGGTTGTTCTGTGTATTGTCTCCACCGACATTCTGGTTGTGTACAAGCTGGCCCTGGGTGGCGATGGATGGATCTAACGCCACTCCCGTGCTTTTGAAATCTTGGTGTTGCTGTCGGAACGTGGATGCGTCAAACGCCTCCTTCTGTGCATGGCCGGTCGGTGTGTTGTCGGCTAGAGTGCTTCTTTGCGCGGGCTTGTGCACCAGCTGGGCCTCTTCGGGCGATTCGTCAGCCTGGGGGGCCGCATTGAGGAGTGCCATAGTCGCTGTGATGTCAGGTTAATGTTCATGCATATAAAAATTAAGACTTTCGAAGAAGCTTCGGGTGTACTTTATCTAAAATATTTTTTGCCAGTGTGACGAGCTTTTACACACACGACACACAATAATGCCCAAGAGAGCTGCCGAAGACCAGAAACACCCCGCCGAGACCTCGTCGGAAGACGAATACGACGAGTCCTACCTCGAAGAGGACTCCTACGCTCCCGACTCTCCTGACGATCCGACCATGGAGGACGACGAGGAGGTCCCTGATACCATCGATGTGGACTTTGAGTACTTTGATTTCAACAAGGACATTGACTACCACGCCATTGGAAATCTGCTGCGACAATTGTTGGATTCTGACTCAACCTCGTTCAACCTCTCTGAGCTCTCCGATATGATCCTTGAGCAGGAGTCTTGCGGAACCACAATTAAGACCGACGGAAAGGAGTCCGATCCCTTCGCCATCCTCACAGTCATCAACATGTCCAAACACAAGGACAACAAGAAGGGAGTTATTGCTGCTCTCATTGACTACTTCGTCGCTCGAACACAGGACCTTCCCGAGCTACACAAGCAGATGCGAAAGTTGCTGGGCCCCTCTTCCACCTCCAAGGTTGGTCTCATCATCTCTGAGCGACTCATCAACATGCCTGTCCAGGTCGTTCCTCCCATGTACAAGATGCTTCTTGATGAGACTAAGGATCAGGACTTTGATTACTTCCTGGTGCTCTCGAAGACTTTCACCGAGGCCGAGACCTCTGTGGACGAGGAGGACGAGCGGCCCTCTAAGAAGAACAAGAAGGGCCCCGGATACAAGCCCGAGACCTACTACTTCCATCCCGAGGATGAGGTTATTCAGGAGAAGAGTACACAGTACGGCTCCTACGCATTTAAGAAGGCTTCCCAAGAGGCTGACTCCAAGCGAGCCTTCCAGGAGTATGGTATCTTCCCTCAGGGTCACTTGATGCTTTTCAAGGCCAAGGATCTGGAGGCCATTGTGGCCAAGATGGAGGTTGAGTTTGCCCCTTAAACAGGGTCCAAGTACCACTACAAATACGAGTACGAGTACGAGTATCTTAAAGATAACTTCATTCATGTTGCAGTGCTACAGTATGTACAATCGCGAGAGCACAGATAGATTGGTCCCCCATAGCCAGATTGGAGAACGATGTAAAAGGTTACTATGGTAGCTTACTACCGCTTGGTACGAGTAGTAGGACACTTTTGGGATGGCCAATAACTAGAATTTAGAAGTATTAATGTATTTCGTGACTATAAAAACAAATTTATGATACAACCAGTTTCCTTGTGGCTTCCCTTGAATTGTGCACATCCTTTACTCTTTCAACTACAACACAACGTATACGCTTACAGTAGCTGATTTGCTCAAGACATTCGCCACCCAGCTTCTTTGCATACATCTGTGTGTGGACCAAGTAACACCGAAAGACTACCACGCTAAAGCCTGATCTGACGGCTGACTAAGCCATCAAAGTGATTATACGCCCAAACCCCACCGATATCATCAAGGTTCACAAAATGACTTCTCCGGGTTTGTGCCAAGGGCCAAATTGTAAGGTAATTTTGCACATTCAGTCAGGGCCTGCAGATAGTATGCGGTGTGGGGTGAGAATGAGAGCGACTTCTGTTAACTGTGGCAATTGTTTACACAAACTGAGGGCCAATTGATCTGATGCTGAATGTGGTAAGGGCAGACAATACTTTCAAGTCAACAAGTTATGAAGGAAATACCTTCCCGACGCGCCTGCCAACTTCTTTCGGATATCGCGCATGGGTAGAGAACTTCTTGGGTGGAAAATCTAGCCGAGGTCGCCCGAGGTGTACAACGGTCCCAGACGCCACAAACAGTCTTGAAATTCAACAAAAAGGGGTCTTGATCTAAAAAATGCTATAGGGTAGTGGGGTGTCTAACTTGTGTACCAACAGTTTAATTGCCATCTCGTGGTGGTCATCCCATCCTACAGTACTGTAGTGCGTATTGTACCCCACAGTGTGAAAGTTTGTGAGCATCATGCAAGCGTGCTCATAGCAACATCACCACCCAAACCCCATTCGACCAAGCACACTACGCCTGTGAGCACATTACAATCACAGCGGCAAACAGCAAAAATGTCGGATAAGGAGAAGAAAAAGAGCAGTGCGACGCACGCGGCCTTCCCTCCCTCAACGGCCTCGCAGCCTCAATCAATGAGTCCCCTGCTGTCTTCCACTCCACCAACAGTCACCAAGGCACTAGCTCAAGCATACCCATACATTCTGGCCAGCGACAAGGTGCTGGGTCTGCTGACATGGACTGAGGATGATCAATGGCAGAGCTTTCTGTTGGTGGCCGTCTACGTGACCGTGGTCATGTACTACGAATACTTGGTCATCTACTGTGGTCACATTCTTGCCGTGGGCTTCATCTGGGCCTTTGTGTACATTCGACAAAGTGTGGAGAGACGGCAAACATCGGAGCCCTCTCTGGATGCAATTGTGCACACGCTGACCAATGTCACCACCAAGGCAAATCTTCTGCTGCTTCCAATCACCTCTCTGAGCCTGACCCCCAGAGATGTGACCCGATTGGCATTCACCACGCTCTTCCTATCGCCTCTGTATATGTTTGGTGCCTACTTTTTCCTTGGACCCCGAAAGTTCCTGCTCACTACCGGCGTCTTCTTCCTCACCTACCATTCCATGGCTGCCCGAGTCACACGAGCAGTCATCTGGAAGTCCAAGGCCATTAGACTGGTCACCTTCTACCTCACTGGACTCGACTTTTCCAACACAAAGCGAAACCTGGGCGCCTTTGGATTCACCCAATCGCCCCTGTCGGTGCAGTCCAAGGACGGAAAGCCCGTGCGGTTCACCTACGTACTGTATGAGAACCAACGACGATGGCTCGGTATTGGCTGGACCGCCAACCTTCTGGCCTACGAGCGAACTCCTTGGACCGACGAGTTCCTCAACGAGGTTACTCCTCCTTCTGAGTTCAAGCTGCCCGATACAGAGGGCACCGGCATGAAGTGGCAGTGGGTCGATCCTACTTGGCGATTGGACTGTACCAACGATGGCGCCCTGGTCATTATTGGCAACAAGGCTTTGAGCACGCCCGATCCTTCTCCCTCCGAGGGATGGATCTACTATGACAACACATGGAAGCGACCTACTGCAGACGACTCTTTTAGCAAGTACACCCGACGACGACGATGGGTGCGAACTGCTGAGCTCATCACCGTCACCAAGCCCACTGATGTGGTGGTCACTGTCGAGGAGGATGGTGTGACTGACGCTGCTGGAGATGTGGAGATCATCACCACCGAGACCGAGGAGAAGGTGCGAAGACGAAAGGGCATTAGATTCGAGGAGGACTCTTAAGAGATAATTAAATATATGAATGTATCATTTTTTTACGCGATTGCGTGTAAGAGAGGCGGCTATATGAGCTTGTTCACGTAATTCAAGGGTGTGTCTGTGTGTACTGTATACAATTACCGCCGTCTGCAGTAGGTATTGTATGCGCACACACACAGTAACGGTATGTGTACAGTGGCTACTTACTTGTACAGTACTTATACTTGTACAAGCGCCACATTAGTAGAATAATTCGTGCTTAGAACTACGTGTACTATTTTTCTTCTTTTTTGATTTTTTTTTGTTATTTGATTTAGATATGGGACCAAGGATCGATGGCAATGACGGTTCCGAATTTCTCGTTGCCAATGAAAAAAACCTTGTATTCATAGCCCCACTCGTCCAGCCAGGCCTTCACCTCCTTGGTCAACATGTCTGTTTTGGAAACAACATGGTAACCCACACCAGAGATCGCATACACCAGCTTTTTATTCTTTCTGTACTGCTCCTCGACTCCCAGAAGAATGTTCTCCAGATGCATGACACTGGTATCAAGCTCAAGCCCATGAAGGTCACAGAAGATCTCTCCAAGGTCATCTCGGTAATTGTAGAGAATGTCAGAGGCCTTTCTACTGGCTGCAATGAGTTCCTGCTGGTGCTTCTGACCCTTGTTAGAGTATATCTTGGCAGCATCAGGTCGGTTCATATGCCAGTTATCGGCAGAAAGGTTGAGATACTTGTTTCGCATCTCAATATGCTTTCTGCTCTCCTTTCGAAGCTGCAGGTACTCCTGAATAGGTTCGTCCAGCTGGTGAGGGTTCTCGACCCAGGGAGTGAATTCTGGTCGAAGAAGAGTCAGAGGGTTGTGTTTTTGCACAGCCATGCGAGCTGCCGGTCCTTTGGCAGGCGAAATTTTGGCAGGTGTGAAACTAGGTGCGGTAGGAGTGAAACTAGGTGCTGTAGGAGTGAATGCCTTAGGCACAAAAGAAGGGACACCAGCAGTACCAGGCACAAAAGATTCAGTAGGCTTCACCTTGCTGAAATCAAACCTCTTCTTGGGCTTCTCAGCAACAGTTTGTGTGTCATTAGAACTGGCCACAGCTGCCCATTTGCTACCTGGCTTCTCCCTTTTTTTGGACTTTGTGTCACTAGCTGTTCCACTTGCTCCTCCCAGAGTGGGGAAATCTTCCAAGGAGTCAAGCATGGGCTTGGAGAAGTTCTCCAGAGGCTTTGTGGGCTCTGGAGTAGACTCGGTCTCTGGAAAGGAATGCAGGAAGGCACAAGTCTCGCCATTCAAGCACGCGCCACGGACCCAAAATCGACACACACGTGATGTCAGATCATGGGAATATCTGCAATCTGCCCGCAAACACTCTCCAAACTGCACAAAGTACTTACAGAGAACCTTCTCCTCTCTTCCTGGCAACAGAGCCAGTGCCGCATAGACCTCTTTCTCGTCCTCATCGTACTCTTCCTCGTACATGCTGGGGTCCTCGTAGTTGTTGTAGCCGCTGTAATCGTGTACTTCCTGATGATGTTCCATCTCGTAAACCTGAGCGGCCTGCTCCTCTTCCTCCACATGCTCAGAACCTGAACGGTCGTCGTACTTTTGTAGCACCACAATAACCACATTGATGTCGTAGTTGTGCTTCTCCAGTGTGTTCTGGATCAGTTCATCGGAGTAATTGCCTCCAAGCACGGCTCTAAGAAGATCAAAAGGTGCCAGATCGGTCTCTCCATGCCCCACATGACCTTCACTGTCAGGCACATAATCTTCCCAGTAGACCTCCTCCTCGTCCTCAGGCAGCTTATCCCGTAAGGGAACGGCCTTGCCTCGCTTCTTGTAGTCGTCCACAACTTTGGACCAGTCGATTTCTGGAAGCACCTCTGGGATTTTGACCCAGTCGATGCTCTTGGACTTGTCGACACCCACAATCCGCACATCTCCATGACCATTGCGGTGACGTGTGACCGAGCCCTCCTTCTCACGATGTTTCCACATGAGATCCAGCACCATGCTCTCCCGTTCGCTAGAAGACATTTCTCCATGATGTTTCACCACGAGCTCTTCCAAAAGCTCGATCTTGTCCTCCTCCAGGACACTGTCATCATCTAGAATCGCATCTGCCTCCCTTGACAACTCGTCCATAATGTTGCGAGATAACGGCTGTCAAATTATAGGCTTGCTTCTCTTTGCCACAGGCGATATTCCATCCACAAATTCAGTCTATCCAGACCAGCCGTTGTAAATTATTTGAATCTTAAACTGGTGGACGAGATTGATGTGCATTGGGGCTGTCAGACGACGTCCATTAATAAGCAGCAGCTTGAAGAAGGATGGGTGAGCAACTTGTCAGATATGTGATTAATGATCGTCTAAATAAAAAATATGCCTTATTATTGTGAACGTAAGTGCCATGTCTGGCTATAACTTCCAGTTTCAGCAATTTACCATTGCTTTGCTAAAATAGACAATCCTAAAAATCGAACTGAGAACAACGTGTACATTTTTTCGCCCATCACGTGAATTACATCACCATAACTCCCGCGTATTCACTCTCTCAGCGTCAACCAGCATGATGGACCCGCGGCAAGAGACGTGCGGAGACATTGTGTCGACGCGTAAACGTCGGCTTGAAGAGCTATACTACGTCTCCTTGCACCCTCGGTACCCCCAAGGTCTGGATGCCAAACAGAAACTGAAGCAGTTCCAGGACCAGTTCGACCTGACACAAAACCGACTTTTCGACGAAAACAAATTACCAAAGGCGGTCGAAGAGCCCAAGCCAGTGCCGACCCTTCAAACCTCGACACCTGATGCAGGCTCTTCTCCAGAGTTGAAGCGACGACGTACGTCTAGTATTGCGCAACTGTCACCTACATTCTCACGCACATCACTCAAAACAAACGAGCAGCAACTGCAGGAAATGCTGCTGTTTCTGGTGCCCAGCAACATCCCCGAACCCACCACAGAAACCAAGTCGCTCGCTGAGCTATACTACACCACACAGACCCTACCACTGTCCAAGCTTATTCCGTCGGCGCACAAAACACTTACCACAGACTCCTACCATCTGGCGTTGCTGGAGGGCAAGCTTGCAGTAGCACATGCTCGTATAGAGGAGCTGAAGCGGGCAGGGAAATGGGGCCCCAGGCAGCCAAAGCGGTTCCAGGACCCTATCCGACGGAAAACACACTGGGACCATGTGTTAGATGAAATGGAGTGGATGTCTACGGATTTCCGGGAGGAGAGAAAATTCAAGCAGGCGATGGCTTGTGAAATTGCCTTTTCCGTGCTGGAGTACCACAAGTACGGTAAGGAAGCTTGTTGTGTGAAGACGAAGCCTATCAAGTTCCTACCAGAGGAAATTAACGAGTCTGAAGATACAGAGAGCAAGATGGACATTGATACAAGCATGCCACCACCAAGTATCAACCCTGTTGAGGTGACAAACATCTCAGCAGCGGATTCTGTCACTGTTGTTGACTACGATACTCTCCTCTCACAACCCAGGACACTGTCATCGACTGAGGAGTCTGAAGACAAGCCGGAAGAGCCTTCTACAGACAGTGAAGAGGTCGTCGGTGGGGAGGTGCCCAAGCGACCTGCTGCTCCTAAACTTCCTGAGAGCTCTCCGTTCAAGCTGTACGCCTCAGTGGACAAGCTGGACCCTCTATCCAAGGCTCTCTTTGACAACCTCCCTGTCACTACACCTCCTGGTTCTGCCGTTAATGCTCTACAGGTTCCCTACAGCGATCCTCTGGACAACTCAAAACTCGCACCTGTCACGCATCTTCTAGCGGCTCCCCCGGAGCAAGATGATTGGTGGTCGGTATGTCTTGAAGACTCTCCTGCCGATGAGGACCCTCTCCCTCTACGATCTAACACTCGTTCTACACTGTTCAATTCGGAGACCATGCGCCGACATGTCGTCATTAAGGCGCCGCAGCCTCCACAGACCAAGTACCTCGACTTCCGAACGCCAACAATGTGGTTATTGGCTGATGATTCACAGCTTCTTCGACTGGTCAAGGAGTATTCCTACAACTGGGACATTGTGTCTGCCCACATGCTGCCCCAAAAAACTTACGGCTTCACAGCTAACATTGAGAGACGTACGTCATGGCAGTGCTTCGAGCGTTGGTTCCAGCTCAATCCGACGTTTTCTCTGACGGATTTGCGTGGTCCCTACGCTCAGGCTGCCCAGCAATGGATGGCCGCTGCTGCCAAAGCCCAGGCTCAGTCCAAGCGTCGCATCTCGCCTCTTGGTGTGTCGAATGAGTCTATCCAGAGAGGTCACCGGAAGCTGCGATGGGCTTCCATGTTTGACGGTATTCGAAAGAGCATGCGAAAACGAGAAACTACCCCCCGACCTAACCCTCAGCCGCCTCGAAAGTCGCAGCTATCCGAGTCCAACAAGAAAGATATTGCTTCGCCTCTGGATCTGTGCAAGATGAAGTTTGAGCAGGATAAGAATCTCGCCAAGGCTTACGCTCAGCAGCGGATGATGCCTGGTCAGATGCCTGGTCAGATGCCCCCGGTACCTTCTAACATTCCTGCTAACCGTCAGTTCCCCGGTCAACGACCTCCTCCTCCTCAGACCGCGGCTCAAATTCAGGCACACACGCAGGCACAGGCTCGAGCTGCTGCTGCCGCCTCTGGACATATGCAGCAGCGTATGGCTGGTGTGGGCATGAACAGAATGCCTGGCCAGATGAACGACCAGCACCAGATGATGCAGTTTGATCGACAGCGGCAGCTCATGGAGCAGCAGAAGATGCTGCAACAACAGCAGCAGCAGCAGTTTATGCGAACCCAGGGACAGGTGCCTCCTCAGCCAGGCCAGGTGCAGGGACAGGTGAACCAGAACGTCCAGGGCGCTCAGGTGGCTGCCGGTCAGGCTGGTATGGCTCAGAGACCGGCCGGCCAGATACCTCAGGGCCAGATGCCTGCTCAACAGGGACAGGTTCCTCCTGGCCAAGCTGGAAACCAGGCCCAGATGATGCGTCCCAACATGCGAATGCGACCCGGAGGTCCCCAGGCAGCTGCCCCCAACGAGCATCTGAATGCTCTAATTCGCCAGTTGCAGAACCAAAACCCTGCTTTGTCTCTGGAGGCCGCCACCAAGCTGGCGCATGTGCAGGTGCAGCGGTTTGTCCAGAAGCAGCAGCGAGTAGCTCGTCAGGCTCAGGGACAGACTCCTCCTCAGGGACAGATGCGTCCTGGACAGCCCCAGGGACAACCCTCTCCTCAGATGCGTTCGGGTTCTTCGACTCCCATGAACATGCAATCGCCACAACTGATGAACGTACAGCTCCAACAGCAACAGCAGCAACGGTCTGCTTCACCAGGTCAGAGCCCCGCCCAGCAGCACGCCATGCTTATGCGAATGAACCAGCAGCAGCAGCAGCAGCAGCAGCAGCAGCAGAACCAGGGACAGACCCAGGGACAAAACCAAGGACAAGGTCCATCCGAGTAAGATGGCCGTCCGATTATTTATGTATACAGATAATATTATTGAACTCTACAGTACTTGTAGCTACTGTACTTTTACAACACTTCGTCATGTAAAAGTAGCTTTCTCTCTGCTACTATCTCGTAACCATATCCTCATTCCGTAACTCCATTGTCTATAATATATGTTCAAACCCGCGCACTGGTTACTTCTTCTCTCCGCCAATCAGCCCATTGACTCCACTCTTGAGAGAGTCCCAAGCACTGTTGACGGCCTTGCCGAAATGTTCGCTTGACTCGTCGACGGCAGATGTGAATCGCTTGTTGGCAGAATCAAGATCAGATTGGGCATGGGAGGCACCCTCCTTGAAGTTGTCCCAGGTGCCGTGGGGCTGTCCCTTGCTGTCAAAGGTGTCTCGGATCTTCTCGTTCTCGTGCTCGGTGTTCTTCTCAACCTTGTTGAACTCGTTCTTGACGTCCTTGTTGAAGTCTTCGGCCTTGTCGTGGACTCCGTGGGTCCACTTTTCGTTAGCATCCTTGAGCTTCTCGCCCTCTTGGTGGGCTTTCTTGTCAAAATCGCCGGAGAAGGTGTCGTGAATCTTCTCGTTCTCCTTGCCGAGATTCTTCTGGGCGTCCGAGGCGCCTTCCTTGAGCTCATCCCAGCCCTTCTTGACGTCATCTCCGAGGCTCTCAGAGCCCTTCTTGAAGTCATCGCCAGCCTTGGAGGCGTCCTTCTTGATGGTGTTATCGACGTGGTCAGCAGACATTGTGTGTGTGTTTGTGTTGGTGTATGTGTGTGTGTGGAGTGAAGTTACGAAGATGGGCACGCTATATATACCTATGCTGCCTCATCCCTATCTCCGGTCTCCATGCTCCGAATGATTTACAGATCACTTGATGATTCTGAAACAACGTGATATTAAGCTATCAATGCATTTTCATGCTTACAGGCCTTGTCTATGATTGCTATCTGTATGCGGTATGCAGAGGAGGCATTTTCAGTGTAAGACACGTTGTTATCCTTCTGCGCGATAAATCCTAGCTCGAGCGCTGAATTGGGATTGTCTGGAGACGTCTGTACACGTAAGATGAAGCCCTCGAAAGATGGAGGCGTGCCTGTGTCAATTAGCGTCCTTCTGCGAGATTTACTTTTGTCGTACATTCACATTTTAACCTCTGCTGCCTTGCATGGCCACGCATCCGATGACGTTGGCGCGCGTGGTGCAACTGAGTGGTATTGTCGCATATGCCGAGAGCCCCGTAAAAAGATGGGAGAGCCAGTGGTTTTTGTTCGGCAATACTTTTGCGAGGCTTGAGTGCATACGAGGTCATTAGATCAGGCACGTTCCGAAAATAGACCATGGAGTGCCTGTGATTTAATGGCTATCACACTCCGATTCAAGCCTCTTAATTGAGTCTACCAAGGTGCTAGCACAAGTACAACTGAAGTAAAATGATGCAAGTTGAAAATGACCCTTGGGCGTGTTAATGGGCCACTGTTCCATAATAGGTAGAACTATATATATATTACTATTATTATAAATAATCAGCTCATATAACGATGAGGTCCTCGCCACCCATTCCATGACATTCTCGCTTAGCGCTGTGTGTGCGCTTAGTGGAAGTCTAATTGCGAGTGGTGTAACCGATAAAGTTCACACCACACACTTCCAACATCAAACTCAATTACACAATCACACCGACACAACACAATATCCACACGACATCCCTTCCTGATTCCACATATTGTCACTTCATTAGGGGTATTAATTAATTATGATCATTATATAAAAAAACAAGACATGCTTAGAAAAGCATGGCGACGGCAACAGCACCGGCAACAGCAGAGACACCAAGGGTGGCAGCGCCGTTGGCCTGGGCGGGAGGAGCAGAGGCCTTGGGGGCCTGGGCAGGGCCGGTGGAGTGGGGAGCCTGGATCTGGCCATCATTGATCTGGGAGACAATGGCACCGGCAGTGGCGTGAGCACCAGCAGCGGCCTCGGACTTGGGGGCGGCAACAGCAGAAGAAGCCTTGGAAGCAGCAGCAGAAGAAGCCTTGGAAGCAGCAGCAGAAGAAGCAGCGTGAGAAGCAGAGGCGGCAGCGGAAGAGGCGGCATGGGAAGCAGCGGAGGAAGAGGTGGGAGCAGCGGCGGAAGAAGAGCCACCTTCGAAGACAGCTCGAGCGGCAAAGCCGAGACCTCCAGACTTGCAGAACTGGTTGTTGACAATGTCGTAACCGTTCTTGCCGTTGGGGCAGGCAGTGAAGTCAAAGTTGGGGACGTAGAGATGGTTGTCACCGTTGACAATGATGTCCTTGGAGGCCTGACCGTCGGTGGCCACAATGGTGGCGTTGTCACCGAACTGGACGGGCTTACCGTTGGCGTACAGAGATCGGCCAATCACCTCGTAGGTGGTGGGGGTGTTGCCGTTGAGGACAAGGGACTTGCCATCGGAGGTGATGGCGTCGTTCTGGATGTCGGAGCCAGATCGGATGGCAACGAGAGAGAACTTCTGGGCGGAGACGAGGCCGGCGGCAGCGGCAAGAAGAACGGCGGAGAACTGCATAGTTAGAGAAGGAACGAGTGTATTTGTTGCGGGAAAAGAGGGACACAGACGAGGACACGGTGGATATTTATACAATTATGACGACTTTCCACCCCCCCAACTCCACCATTTTTAACGTTCACAACATCAGGTATAGAATACGCCTGTACCGTGTAGGGATAGAGTTACAGTCGGTCTACTTGTACTGTAGTCATCATTACAAGGTACAAGAGGTACATACTGTGTACTCGTACATACATAGATGAGGCCCCCTGTTCAGTGATTTCCTCTTATACAATCAAAGTGTTGGGATTGAGAACTGGAACGAAGAAATGTGCTTTGGATTTCTACTGCATCTTCAATACTGGTACCTCCAGGGCTCACCATGTATCATGAGAGGTTCTGATGTTCTTACTGAGACCCCCACTAACCAAATTTAGAGTCCAAGAAGACTTCCGAGTGTAGCAATAACAAGACCAAAAGGGAAGTCAAATGAACCTGGTAAGTATATCGGCCCTAAGACCCGTTACCATGAGGCTTCATAAAGGGCTACGATTCGAGCACCGAGTGACCATTATGCACTTAATGGGGTTTTAAGTCTGAGACAACATGTAGGGAATGTGGTTATGTAAAAGTAGCTATCTATCACCCGTCTGCTGAGGGACATGAGATGGTTTAGATAATCTGTGCATTATGCTGTACATGGGGAAGATGGTAACAAAAATTATCACCATTGGAGCGATGTGGCCCTCGTTTGATAGATATACGGACAGTTCCCCGAAGCAGCTGTTCTCATCCTCTCATATGGTACGGATACTCAAGTTATCATTACGTACCCATTCTATAATTTGCATTTATTGCCTTCTTGTTTTGATTTCTGCGTTCAAGAAGGAACCTTGGTTTGAATATGCCTCAGAGGCTTCTTCGGGATGATCAGGTTGGCCTCGTACCGGCACTTGTACGATGCTTAATGCTTATGAAGATCTTACCCATGACGAACAACAGTAGCTACCAGGAAGTTAAGATGAACGCCGACGCTTCTGTCGCACAAGCCAGCTTAACCTGAGTTGAAGTGGCCAAATCTATGCAAGTAGCCACCAAAATCTCAATCACATCTCGAAATCCCTATTATGCTAAAGGTTTACAGGAAAAGTAATTATGCGCTCGATAGTTCCATACACGACACGGCTCGTTTGCTATATATAACTACAGAAAGGCTTCCGACTTTGCTTTTGGTTGAAAGAATTGTTCTGGTACTGGCAAGTCAGTTTCCCGAAATGGAATCTGTCCGTTCAGCCTGCTCCTACTTGGAACTTGGTGTAGTTACGAGTGTACATACAGTAGCTACAAGTACAATACATGGCATGAGTTTGACTCCATACCCATGTCGAAAGTGGTGCTGTACAGTATGTACGAGTAGTAGGGGCAGCTGAAGGTATATCAGCTGTAGCTACGGAATTTTCCCTTGTAGCATTTGCGAGTGCAAGCACATCGTTCTTGGAGAAGTTCAATCGTTAGATTGTCATACATTACTGTACCGTAAGTCCACTACGAGCACAGTAGAAGTAGCAAGAGCCAATTCACTTATAACACATACCATGAATGAAGACTTCCTGTTATGTGTAAGCCACAAAAACAGGGCGAGGCTGGGTGAGAGTTCACGGAACTGCAAATCATATTGAAACTGTGCAAATAGGACATTGTTTCCTACGAGTATGTACAGTACGACCTCAGTGTTTGGCTTGAGCACGGCTAATACCGAGTGAAGAGGAGGGGGATATATATCCTGAGCAACTTCAGTCTTTTAATCGACCATGAATCAATAAACCGAAGTATAACAGATCATCAACCCCAAGCCAAATTATTTACCATGTACTCCACCAATCGGCAGATGCCGTGATCATTGAAGACATCTCGAGGTATGACAGAGGATCATCACAAGAATGTCAGAAGAGAGCCATGTTACATCACATCTAAAAATGGAACACCCACTGTGACTCTGGCTTCATCTCAGGAGTACGCACGGCAATGACATGTTACGTCAAAATGACCTTGCAACGGAATGTGCCTGTAATTGAACTACTTGTAGAACTATAACGTTACTTGCGCCATACACGGGTTGTGTTTGGGTTTAAGGAATCATTGGCACATCAGGGTAGAGTATGTACTGGTGTTGCACTAAGTACCTTGTTCGACGGTATGTGAGCTACAACGAGAACGCGTTTCCAATTTTGTCTACGGGGTCAGCTTTTTTCTTTCTTCTCGTCGTGCAAAGGCTGACTATCAGATACGGTTCTTACAAGTATGTACATACCCGCGAGGTCGATCGTCAGTCCGTAGATCTTGCACAAACAGTCTGAGACACATACTCCATACCAATCTACAAGTACGTTACTGAGCGGATCATGAAAAAAATATTAACAGTCATTACTCGTTACGGACATGAAGAGGCACTAATAGCATAAGTTTGCATTTACAGGTCCTCCACGGTGCCGACCTCTTCAACAGCCTTCCCTCCAATGTTGAAGTTCAGCTTGAATCGCAGCTTCAGCTTGTCGCCAGCGTTGCCAACGTGAGCCTCTTGGGTCACTCCGTTGATGGAAGCAGCTCCAAGAGTGTCGGAGGATGCGGGGTCTAGCTTGAGAGTGACAGACTTGGGAGCGGCAATCTTAAAGTCCAGAGCGGTAATGTTATCAGTGAAGGACTTGTTGGAGAACTGCAGAGTGATCTCCACGTTACTGCCAGACCTGCTGACCAGGCCAGACACCTTGATGTCGCCAGTCTGCAGAATAGAAATCTCCTTACCGGCAGCAGCACCGGAAGAAGCACCCACAAAGTTCCAGGCCTCAGCAGGGTCCTCAGAGGGTGCTGTCTTGACCGCGTGTGTCTCACCGGCCTTGTTGGCAGTCAGCTGGGAGAGAGAAGAAAAGTTGAAAGCGGGAGCAGGAGTAGCAGCAGGAGCAGGAGATGCCGAGGGAGAGAAGTCCAAGTCAAAAAGGTTTCCGGATCCAGCGGGTGTGCCAGAGTGCTTTCCAGAGGCTCCGGACACAGCAGGGGAGGCAGCGCTACTTGCGTTAGTGGCCCCCAGCAGAGAAATGGAGCCACCCTGACCAAAACCGGAGCTGTTGTTGAAGGACAGACCATTGAGATCGCCAAGCAGATCGTCGACGGCGGCGCCGGAGCCAGATCCGGAGTTTCCCGCGGGTGTCGCTCCTCCAGCTCCTCCAGCTGCAGGCTCATCGTCTCCAAAGTCAATGAGGTCGGAAACAACGGCCTTGGAGGTCGCAGATCCAGAGGGGGCCTTTGTGTTGACGGCGCCAGCTCCACCAAAGTCGCCCTTTCGCAGAAGCTCAAACTTCTCAACCAAAGAATGCAGGTAGTCGTTGAGTTGTAGAAGCTTGGCCACGGTTTCCTCGTCCTGACCCTCCTCCTCAGTCATCTTCTGAATTCGGGGGTGGGCAGCCTTGACGGCAGAGTACATCTCTGCGTAGACATCGTCGGGCTTGAATGGGGTGCCGCTGGGATGCCCCTGCATCATTTCGTCGAGAAGCTGCGCCTTAGTCTTGATTTTCTCCAGATCCTCGGCGGCCTTGGCGGCGTAGTTTGTCTTTGATTCCTTGAAACCAGCCATGATCTTCATGAGATGGTTGGCTTCCTGGAGGTCTCGAGGAGATCCGGATCGAATGAGCTCCTGCAGCTTGGCACTGTGGGCGTCCTGCTCTTCAGCCTCCAGCTCAGCAGCAGACTTGAGACTTTCAGCCTCTCGCAGAACAGCAGCGTCATCTCGGTTGACCTCGGGGAAGTGGTAGCCCTTGTAGGTCAGCAGCCGGTGCATGTCTCTGATGTATCCCAGGTCATCCTTGTACCGCGAGTGCTTGCAAAGTGTTTCTCGCCAGTCCTGCAGCACCTCCAAGATCAGACACTGGGTGTGAGTGTAGTTCATTGGGGGCTTCTCGGGGAACTTCTTAACCAGTTCATTGAGAAACTCTTTTCGGGAGATTTGTAGGTGAAAAGGGTAGCCACAGTTCTTGACACAAATGTCCAGCAGCGACAGAGCCATGATGGACACGTTTCGGGACTGGTGGTTGATGAGCTTGACAATGGCCTGGGCAGCGTCCCGAGCGCTATTGCCCTTTTTGGAGTTGATGTAGTCGGCGACTTCAAAGTCCAGCGCTAGGTTGGGCTCCACCAGATGGGGGGCACAAGCTGCGCTGATTAGCTTGAACAGTTTTGCATTGGACTGCGACGATCCACTGCCGGTTCGGGGCGTGGCTTGCACGTAGTAGTCGTCGTCCACTCGAAAGCGGGCGGTGTAGTCAGCCATCTTTTTGTGGTGTGTTGCGCTGTGGAGTCGGAGTTGTGTTCAACCAGGTCGAGATGATGTGGTCGATTGGGAGGTGCGGAATACATGCGTTGCCACAGTTTAGGGTTGGCCGACATTTGTTTTCAAATTACTGCGTGGGGACGACGAAGCGGTTAGCACTAGAATATGAAGGGCTTATTTAAATGACTATACTGGTGTTACAACTGCTGCCATATATTCATCTACTGTAGAGCTCATCCCCTCCTCACCACCTGGTTTCCACTGCGTTGCGCTTAAATTTCGTATCCTGTAATCTCAAGTGGGTAACCATGTGGCTGACTGACTGGGGTCTCACTCCAGCTCAGACGGGGAGTGCCGCTTTGTCATCAGTGAAAAACTTTTCACCACCTCTCCGCACAACGCTCAATCACCACCTGTCTTTTATATATTGGTCAGTACATTGGTATTGGCTGGTAATAAGCCTTGTGTGCCCTTGTAGGGCTTGGCGCATCTAAATGCCGCAGCTACAGCGTGGCCATAACAGAGGTGGCGGTTGGTCTCATGCCGTGCGTTATCTGACGTCCTTGCAACTGTAAGATAATCGTTTCGATTTTCTCCTCCCAGCAAATGTTTCATTTCCTTCTTGCCCTCGTTGTGGGAAGCAGTAGCTTTGAGGAGGCCTAAGCAAATAGCTTTGTTCATGCAATGCATCGGCTACAGTGTCAGCTACGATACAAGAAAACAGCTGCTGCTGCTGCTGGCGAAGACTTTCCAATCGGAACCTTAAAACCAGCACTATCAGATTGATTTTTTAGATAACCGTTGCACCATCCATACAGGCACAATATCGCTCCAATATCTATTGTATTTCCACATCTACAACCTCAACTTATACCACCTAAACAATACTACCTATAGCAGCGTAAATACGGGGAGTACCCGGACTCCTCTAGCTAAGCTAGGATGGATGTAGATACCATCGTGGGTCAAAACGTCCATAGTGTTCTCGCCTGGGTGAGTAGTTTTTCGTCTGTCCGAGCGTTTATGCCTCCTTCGGGGCCGCCTTGGAAGCCTCAACGAAGGTCTCGAGAGCGTTGAGAGCCTTTCCAGACTTGATAGACTCTCGGGCAAGCTCCACACCATGCTTCCAGTCCTTGGCATGACCATCAATGACAGCCAGAGCCGCAGCGTTCATGATGACGTAATCGGAGATGGGGTGACCATCGGGAAGCTCATTGGAAAGAAGCTGCTTGAGCACGGTAGCGTTCTCGGTGGGGGTACCGGAGGACACTTCAGACAGGGGGTGTCTAGAGAGACCGAAGTCTTCAGGGGTGAGGTAGAGCTCCTCAATCTCCTGGGAAGGAGTAACTCTCCAGACCTTGGTTCGTCCGGCAGGAGAGATCTCGTCGAGACCCTCCTCTCCCCAGACAACCAGAGCAGGGGACTGAGACATACCCTGAACTCTGTTGATATGGGTGATGGCTTCGGCGAAGATCTGACCAAGGGCCTCGGAGTACACACCGATGATCCGGGCCTTCACTGGAATGGGATTGACGAGGGGACCCAGGACGTTGAAGAGGGTAGGGATACCCATGGACTTTCTGACGGGGGCAACTCGGTTCATAACGGGGTGGAACATGGGAGCGAACAGGAAGCAAAAAGGACCCTTGGCGACAATATCAGGCACAGTGGATTGGTGGACTCGCGACATGTCAGCTCCGAGACAAGTGAGCAGATCACCGGCTCCAGACATGCTGGTGGAGGCCTTACCGCCGTGCTTGCCGACCTTGATGCCCATACCAGCAGCAACAATAGCCGCTGAGGTGGACACGTTGAAAGTGTTCTGTCCATCACCTCCAGTGCCAACAATGTCGACGTAACCCTCGGGATCAAGCTTGGAGGTGTCGGGCAGACGGGCAGCGTGTCGCAGGGTGTTGGCGGCGGCAGCCAGGTAAGCAGCGTTCATGTCGAGACCCTTAGCATGCAAGAGGGCCAGAAAAGTGATGATCTGGGACTCAGGGACCTTCTCCTGGGCGACCAGAGCCAGGACCTCGGCGAGATCCTCGGGGGTGAAGGTGTCGTCCAAAATGGCCTTAAGCTGGGTGTTGAGAGGCAGAGACATGTGTGTTGATGACAAGTGAGAGTGGTGAGGTATGGTGTACCTTAATTGAGTCACTGCACCGACCGTGAAAGTTTCTCTGCGGGATGAGGTTAACATGGAAAATATCCTGAATACCGTGAATAGTGGTTGAAGAAGAGACAAATGTTGGACTGCCTGCTATCCCACGACCCAAATTTACATGTTGTACTAGTTCCATTAGTCACACAATGACTCACTAAAACAGACAGTGGGTAGGGCCATTTAGGTTCACTCGTGAACACACAATAGTCAAGCTCCGAATTATGGCGAGGCCACCATTGAGGTAAAAAATTGCCTTTAATAAACGAGGTGTTATGACGTACGAGTACCTGTAAGAACAGAGGAATTCAGATGACTTTTTGTTCTAGGATCTAAAGCAGCTTTCTTAGCCAAATGCCACACACTAATGTTCATGTAAGGTCCTTGGGGGTCCACTTACACCGCAGTGTGCCACGAACGAGTGTGCTCGCTCTTTATCAACACATGGTTGGGTTTCATCTTGATCTATAGGTCCGAGTTAAAAAAACGCGATCTATGTCACAGGCACAAATAAATGAAGCGATACAAGGTCATCTCTTATACTGTAGCGACAGTGAGCACGACCGCTCTCACAACATGCAGTGCAGCTCTAGACCACTAATGCAACTTGTACCTGCCACCGTTCCTCTACTGTAAGAATAACGCCGTACAGCATCTGTTAGCTCTGAATGTACTGTAGGGAGCGGGCTAGAGTTGGGGTCCTTTGAATGAGAGGGAGGAAGGAGAGTATATCTGCACAACTTGAGTGTCTCATACTATCTTAGGCGGATACGAGGTGACACATTTTACAGTATGCACGACTCTAAGGGCTGTTTTGACTCGTCGTGGAAGTATCAATGCATGGACCTGGGGTAACAACTAGAGCAACCAAGTCCGGCTATGAGCAACTACTGTACACAGAGAGAGGGACAATCTGCTATACCTGACCGCTATACCTGACCAAGTGCAGTAAGTATCGTACAGTATGTACAAGTATTGGCACTTACATGTCCCAATTTGCAACAGAACCCTTATCAGCTGCACACTTCAATGGCACCAAGCTTGACTACAATTATAATTGAAAACGTACGAACCGTGGTAGGTGTACCTGTAGTTCGCCCGACAAGTGGATGGATTCAGTCCAAAATAACAGCCAATCGGATATTACCGCTGGTGACACTCTCAGACACATGTCTATGATGGTCATTGTTAGCACCGAAAAATTCTTCACTCACAATTCAACAATAGCCACCTTCTATGATAAACCGTTTGACTATGGGGTTGTGTCAGGCAGGTTACAGGACACATTAGAGCAGCGAGACAGCCTCGTATTTCGTATTTTCGCGGACCCGACAAGACAGAAATAGCTGTTCGAAACACGTTAGATCTAATTTCTTTTCAAATTATAAGTACTCGTACGGCATTCATACCAATTCCATGCTGGGAACGCTCACTGCCGGCTCTAAAGTTTCCCAGCCCAAGACACGTTGTTTTGGAACAGGACGCGTTGTATCCACGTGACGGCGGTTGCCTGGCAGCACGCGTTCAATGTAAATGTGGTTACCAATGCCTAACACGGCAGGTCGAGTGGGACGACGTAGGGTAATAATTCTCGAGAATACACCGCTACATATTTGTTGGTCACATTACAATCTGTCTAATTAGAAATTATGACGTGTAGTCGAATTGTTGATTTCCCCCCTATTTCTCGGCCGGGTAACCTACGCTAACCTCCACGTCTGCACCTCCTAGGATTCTCGCATCCTAATCACGACATTATACCTATCAATCATGGCGACCACAGCACAGGCTGCTATTCAGAGCATTGGCGTGGCCAATCTGCCAAACCAGCGGTGAGTATGGAGAAGTGTGAACCGGTTATGGGCTCAGAAACACGGATACACTGGTTATGAGCTATCACTCGTCCTACGTGGAGACATTGTATACACCACTAACACAGACACAAGATTGTGGCCAAGAGTGGAGCTACCTTCACCCTTATGGTGGCTGGCGAGTCTGGTCTCGGAAAGACCACCTTCGTTAACACCCTCTTCTCCACATCCATCAAGAGCTACACAGACAACAAGACGCGGTTCAAGCGACCCATCAAGAAGACGGTGGAGATCGACGTGACCAAGGCCGAGCTGGAGGAGCGAGGATTCCGAGTGCGACTCAACGTGATCGACACTCCCGGATTCGGTGACAATGTCAACAACCTAGACTCTTGGCAGCCCATTGTTGAATTTCTGGACGACCAGCATGAATCTTTCATGCGTCAGGAACAGCAACCAAACCGTGTCGGCAAGATTGACATGCGAGTCCACGCGTGTATCTACTTTATTCGACCCACTGGCCACGGACTCAAGCCCCTGGACATTGAGGCCATGAAGAAGCTGTCTTCTCGAGTGAACTTGATCCCCGTCATCGCCAAGGCTGACACACTGTCGCGCAAGGAGCTGGCTATCTTCAAGCAGCGAGTTCGAGACACCATCATCGCGCAAAACATTCGAATCTACCAGCCCTCAGTGGATGAGGAGGACCAGCGAGCTGCTGAGCACGCCAAGTCGCTTATTGACGCCATGCCCTACTCCATCATTGCCTCTGAGAAGGACGTGGAGACCCCTGATGGTCGAGTGGTCAAGGGCCGACAATACCTGTGGGGAGTTGCCGAGGTGGAGAACGAGGACCACTGTGACTTTGAGAAGTTGCGATACCTCCTGATCCGAACCCACATGCTGGACCTCACAGCCTCCACTGAGGAGCTGCACTACGAGTCGTACCGAACCCAACAGATGGAGACCAGAAAGTTTGGCGAGGCCCGGCCGCGAAAATTCGACAACCCTAAGTTCAAGGAGGAGGAGGACGCTCTTCGAAAGATGTTCACTGAGCAGGTAAAGCTGGAGGAGCAGCGATTCCGACAGTGGGAGCAAAATCTCATTGCCGAGCGAGATCGACTCAACAAGGACCTCGAGCAGACCCATGCTAGCATCAGAGCCCTGGAGCAGGAGGTCGAGCAGTTGACTATGAAGGCTGGTAAGCGATAAATCTGATTTTGTTATTTATGGTTCCTCTTGCTAATCTAGGATGTTGGTAATTTTGTAATGTATAATGGAGTGAACGTGGACGACGTTGAGCGTGACGAACGCGTAAGGAATCGACACGACTGTGCCACAGGTGAACGACTAACAATATCCGGGGATTATGGAACGCGTTTTAACAGCTCCCTTCGCTGACCCTGGCGTATCTTGATGCTGTGATGATGTATGTTAATGTATTACTAATCAGAAGGATGTATATTACGACCATATGTACTGTACCATACGAGAACAAGTGCAATACCATTGAGTCAGATCTGTACACGTTTCTCCATCTTCTGGTATGTATACGACTAGAAAATTGTGAAGGACGCAATGCTCAGTTGTGTGCCCTGGTCTAAGCTCGGTGAGCCAGACACAGGTTTGAAGACTTGGGCCCAATGTGCTCTTCGGGTTGTGGCCAGGAGGATAAGCATGGTCGGAGATACTTGAAAAACGTGAACGACTTTATGGACGAGTCTCAACCTCAAGGGTTAGTCTCAGAAAGTGTCTTTGACAACATGTCTCAAGGTGACGTTCGTTAGCAGCGTCAGGACAGTTTAAAGAATGATGCACATACTTACGAGAGAATCCGCTTTCGTCATTTGGGAAGATTCGAAATAACAGCTCTCTCTGGCTATTAGATCGTATTAACACCGTTGCAAGACTTGTTCCCGAGGTCACTTGCTTTGCGAACAGTTTACTCGTCCAGATCTCCGGGAACGCATAACACATACGCATCTTACTCGTGATACAAACCGAAAAGTTATGTTTTTTAAGAGTTGTTCTACAATGTACACTGTGGACGTTTGTAATGTCAGCTTCATTCATAATCATATCTCATTATCTATGTGTCTAATTACTCCTCGGAAGTATAAGCATCTAAAGCGTCTATTCCTCCTCAGCAAGCAGCTTCTCACAGTCGAGAGCAGCCATGCAGCCGGTACCAGCAGAGGTAATGGCCTGTCGGTATCGCTTGTCCTGGACATCACCAGCGGCAAAGACACCCTTGACGGAGGTGTTGGCGGTACCGGGGACGGTAACAACGTAGCCCTCCTCGTCGGTCTCGACCTGGCCCTTGACGATGGAGGTGGCGGGGATGTGACCAATGGCGTAGAACAGACCGTTGACCTCGAGGTCTCGCTTCTCGCCGGTCAGGGTGTTCTCGATCTCCAGGGCGTTCAGCAGCTTGCCGTCTCCCTTGGCCTCGATGGACACGTGGTTGAAGAGAATCTCGACCTTGGGGTGGGAGGCCAGTCGCTTGGCCATAACGGCGGAAGCTCGCAGCTTGTCCTTTCGGACAATGACGTAGACCTTGGAGCCGTACTTGGTGAGGAAGAGGGCCTCCTCAGCGGCAGAGTCTCCTCCTCCGACAACGGCGAGAGGCTTGTTTCGGAAAATGGGGACAGCACCGTCACAGACAGCGCAGGCAGAGATACCCTGCTGCCAGTACTGGTCCTCACCGGGCAGAGAGAGTCGCTTGGCAGAGGCACCGGTGGCAAGAATAATGGCGTCGGCAGTGTGGGGCTCCTCGTCCTCATTGAACTCGGTCCAGTACTTGAAGGGTCGCTGGGACAGATCGACCTTGGAGACGGTCTCGGTGATGATCTCGGTGCCGAATCGGATGGACTGCTTTCGCATGTCCTCCATGAGCTGGGAGCCCATGATTCCGTCGGGGAAGCCGGGGAAGTTCTCAATCTCAGTGGTAGTGGTGAGCTGACCGCCGGCAGCAATGCCGTTGGCCATCATTCCCTCGTAGAGAGTGGGCTTGATCTCGGCTCGAGAAAGGTAGATGGCAGCGGTGTGGGCGGCGGGGCCGGAACCGATGATAACAACTGGGCTGTGGGTCATTCTGGATTGAGCTGTGGTGGAGAAAGAGGGCTTGGAGTGTTCAATTGCGGTTGCAGATATGGGCAATAGGGCTCCAAATCGGGTGAATCGTCGAAAGATGGAAATTGTAAATGTCGTGGCTTGCTTCTGGGCACGCAAGTGTATAAGTAGTGTTTGAGAAAGTCTGGCGCAACGTTTTTCACGCACAAACTTAGAGTTTGTGATTTGTAAGGGGTCTAAGCCGAGTACGAGAGTGACTGTGTGTAGAGTAAATGTATGAGGTGACGGTGGTTTTTTTTGCCACCCAGGCGATAAGTTGCTCTCAATACATTTGTCAGTATGATTTTCAAGCAATATACCCACCATGTCACGTACTGAAGACTCTCTACTCCCCAAAGTCTAGACCACATCAGATAACCAAAGCAAAGTTCAGACGAGCTGACACAATGCGCCTCTGATCTGGACCAGTCTAGACGCAACAGAAGCCGACAGAAGACCCGAGGTGATAAGAGGAAGTTAGTAAGCTACAAGACGAGCGTAGTCTAACGCATATATTCAAAGTTGTTTACAAATCGACCTACCCGACGCTGTGGTTATCCGATGAGGTCCATGTCTCATTTCGAACCACATGCTACAAGTAGTTGTTCCGGACTCTTCCGTAAGCTCTGCGTCACACTGTACAAGTACATACTGGTATAAATCGATGATGTTACACTTCCTAGTGTTACAGAAGTACAAGCTCGTACGTACCATGTACTGGCTGCTGCGAAAAACGGATTATACAGACCTATCGGGCTAACAATCAAAACACCATCACGTGATAAAGTTGACCCGAAAAAACACCCTAATCCATGTCTTTCTCCCACATGGCACAGTCTAGACCGGGCCATTGCACGGCTGTACCATACCCCATTTTAGACGCACATGACAAACGCTCACATGCCCAGGACGGCGTCGGAATTTTTGCGTGCTACCAAAGGCAGTTTTTTAGTCTCTCCAGTTAATCCGAAATGAAACATGAGGGTGGACTACTGTAGGGGGAATATGACTGAAGCGAAGTTACAGTGTACCGGTTCAGTAGAGTGCAAGCACTACAGTACATACTGTAGTGTCATACAATACCTGCAGATACTGTACTTGTGCGAGTGAGTACATACAGAACAAATACCGGCACACTGAACTATCAACTGCTTGGTGCTACTGTTACTACTATTGTTAACAGAATGCTCGTTCGTAGTTAGTAGAGTCAGTTGATCACTCACAGTGTTGGATAATGAGGCAACCACAGCCCCAGATCTGTACCCCCAGTGCAGAACAGTGTACAGTATGTACAGTATTGTACGTAGCTAGACATCACACCGTCTGTGAAAATGCAAATATAATGATCCTATAAATCTCTCTATCCAGGTTCTGTCCCAACTTACCCGACTATCTATCACTTCGTCTCAGCAAACTCCTTCAACACTTTGGATGACGCAAAAAGCGGGTTTAGAAAAACGCACTGGAAAAAGTACTCGAGTCCACGCCGTCGACTCTGTAAAAACGTCTTGTTGAAATGCTGAAACATGGACTTGGCAGGCAGTTGGGGAATCTCCATCTTGTGTTGCGGGAACTCCTGCTTGAGAGCCTCCCGCATCTCGTAAATCTCTGAGAACCGCCGTCGCAAAATAATACGACCTCCATACTTTGTCTCCACCACAATTGTCCACGACACATATGCACCCGCCTTGCTATCTCCTGCAACAATGTTGTATTCTGGAATATTGACATCTGCTGCCCAAACCGGCAAGACTCCCTGTGGGACATGCTCATCCCGCGGCTCAGGCCGACCGTTTTCATTTATCGTGTCGTAATCCTCCCCTCCGTAGACCATGCTGTATTCATCGTTGGTATTATCGACGATTCGGATAGGGCCTACCGGAATAGGCGTGAACACCGGAATGGGGGTCACTTGTGTTAGCGAGTCAATGTCGCCCACGCCGTAGGTCCGCCCGACCTTCCACACGTTGGATTTGCGGCCTATGCTGCCACTGGTAACGTCCATGTCTCTGAAAGAAATAGCTGGCCGCTTAGTACTGGCCACTGAAGATGTTCGGGATGATGCCATGGGTTTGAAGAAAGGCAAGTGGCAATCACCTTTGTTTTGTGATTGGAAAGAAGATGATAGTCCAGAAACGTTGCCTTATTGGTGAGGGCTAGGGCGCTTTTTGTAGGTGTGTCTTCCGGCGCGCTAGTGTTGAGTCGATATTTTTGGGCACGACGGGCCAAAATTTGGAACCACCCACACAGCAAATGTACGATAAACTTTGTGGGGGAGCAAGCACATGGAGGCGTTATACTGAGAGGTCGTAGTGGAACGTTATGTCCATGTGATGGCTGTAACAAGATTACAGCATATGTATTTATTGTACATGGGACGTGTAGAGATACTGAGAGATTCAGGTCTTACCACAGAGGTGTGTCAGGAGCGCTGCAGATGCGTCTCAATCTCATATCATATCAGCTGTCGCTCAACAACCAAGAAGCAGTCCGATACTGTTTTAGTTGAGATGCCAACGGTTATAGATTGTTTGAACTCTTGGAATTCATGTCCTAGACGTATCAAAAAGTTGGGAAAGTAATGCTATAAGCCCTTTTCAGGGTCTATTCCTTGGGGTACTTCAAGTACTAGGCACGTGATTAACATGCACCTCCCACTAACCGCACTTTAAATATTTTGGTAAGCTCTACACACCCTAATTACACGGCCAGCCCTTCAATCCCCCCCAAATGATCCCTACTCCGGTGTTGCGATTCAACCCCATTGCCGACAAGGTGCCCAAATGGAAGCGGATCTACCACAAGTGGCGGGGCATCCAAAATATGCCCTTCAAGTCCAAGTACTTTGTGGGCTATGATCTGGACGGAAACTCGTACTGGGAGTTCAAGAACGTCAACAACCCCGGCCGATATAGACGCATTGTCGAGCCTGCAAAGCCCGATCTGTCGCTAGTGGACCACAAAATCCCCCCTCAATGGGTCCAGTGGCTGCGGTTCACCCGACCTCATCACCCTACTCTCGAAGAGCTGATTGCAGACAAACAACGACAAGAGCTTCTACAGGCCAAGATTGCAGCCTATGAGGCCAAGTGGAAAGAGATTCCTCTCAAGACAGCCGAAAACGCCGACGAGTCGAGAGACATGTCGTTGGAGGACCAACTCAAACCTACCTTCACTGAGGCTGAGCTGGCTGAGATGGCCCAGGTGTTCGAGAAGGTGCCTCAACAGGCAGCCCCCGCACCTCCACGTGTTCCCAATATGGCTGCAATTGAGGTGGAAGATATCATCAAGCATTACCCCGAGAATGGTCCCGATACCGTTCTTGCTGACGGAGGACGCCAACGAGACCATGACCTGAAGATGGACTACGTGGAGAAGGAGCGAGACGACTCCGGTAAGCCCGCAGAATGGACCCCCAAGGCGGCTGTGAGAAGAAGAGGATAACCACTGCAAGTGGTGGTATCCAAACTGCGTTGCGTACAAACGTAGTGTCAGCTACTGACATAAAACCAACAAGGCGCGCCCATGAGAGACAATCGGGCCCAGCATATCGTAAATAGTATATATTGTCTTTGATTATAATAGAGTATTAAGTAATGAGAGAGGCGTCGTATGAGACTGCATTCACCAGCAAGGCACGAATTGACGATAACCAACTACTGTAGTTGTATGTACATCACACCATGTGAGGCATGCCATTTGAGGCTCTCAGTACATCACATGATGCTGCTTGTACACCATATGAGGCTGTTGCTGTAAACACAAGCGATAATATGCACACAATCAGCCTCAGCTCCAGAATTATATATATTTGGGAAACAGGTCCACAAGCAACATGAATCCCATCCTTTCGCTCCACAAATACCAACATGTCCATGCCCAACACAGTATACTACTGCGGTTACCACAAACTGAATCTCTCTGGTGACCAACTGGTGGAACACATGAAACACTGCCCAGGACCTTATACTGACCCCAGCAAGAAGCCCATTGGAACCAGGTAGTTAATAAATATTTTCATTGCGTTAATAAATTAGACAGCGCTGCCATTCAGAGCTAGCACCCGGAGTTCTCACTCACCCCCGCCCTTCATTTTGTCCTCCAGCAAAGAGTAAATCTTGTCACCAAACTCTCGAACAATCGTCTCCATATCCATAGCAGGGGTTGTGCATCTTGCGGACGGAAGATTGGTTTCTGCCTTTGGAAGGCCGGTGCCGCCCCTCAAAAGGGCCAATGTAGCTTCGAGCTCTTCCTGAAGGGCACTGTAGTCCTTCTCTCGGTCGTCCTTGCTATCAAACTCGCCTCGGAACCTCTTCAGTCTTACGCAAAGGTCAGTCTTCATGGTATCGATAGAAACGTTTCCTGCCCTGGGACTACCACTGCTGATGCCTCTCGAACTTCCAGAAGAGCCCATCCTGCTAGGACTTTTGTCGCCCATAATAGCGACATTGCTGACTCTGGTGGGACTCTTGGGTCTGGCCGGGGACATCGGACGCTCATTTCGAACAGGTGAAGGAGTCTCTTTGCTGCGGAACGAAGGTCTGCCTGCCGTGCGGGTCATAGGGGACCCGTTGCTGTCAACTGCACTTTTTCTCAGTGGTGAAGGTCTGAGGACCGGCGAGTTGGGTGTATCAAGGTTGTTCTCACGCGCAATGGAAGACAGCTCAAGCTTGGGGATGACCTTTCGAGCCACAGGAGAAGTGCTTAATGCAGCAGAGCCCGATACAACAGCAGACTCAACCCATGGAGACAGCTTCCACACGAACAAACACCCATCCGCTCCAGATGTGACAACCTCGGCAGACACAGCACTCTGGGGTTTTAAAATGAGTCCCGAGACGCCGTCTGAATGACCCCATTCGGACGCTAGAAGAGCGCCTGTAGCATGATCGAACAACCGAAGAGACTTGTCCGTGCACACACCTACTAGAATGTCCTTCTTTATTCCCCCGTGCTGAAACTTGCCCAAAACGATTCGAGTCACACTCAGCCCGTCGCCCCGAGAGTTGGCGCACTTGTAGTTACGCACCAACTCACACTTGTCCGTTCGATAAACATACACCTGCTTATCAGAACAGATGACAATCAGCTCGTTGTCGACAAGAATGACATCTAGAGGCGAGCTCTTGAGACTGATGGACTTGAGGGGGGCCCAAACGCCACCAGTGAGAGCATGGACGCCGATAGAGCGATCTGCAGAGCACGAATACAGCCGCTGATCCGCCACAACGAGCTTCAGAATATTCGCGGTATGACCCACAATCGTTTGCTGGAGTTCCATGGATGAATGCGATACCAAGAAGACCTGCACTGTACGATCTCGCGAACAAGTAAACAAAGTTCCGTCATGAAACGCCATACCAGTGATATCTGCCTGGTGCGCTTGTGTGGAGAACTTGCAAGAACCTTCGTTATAAAGACTAAGTCTTCCGCTTCTATCGCCGATAGCCACGTCTGACCCAAGACTCAGAGCATGCGAGATTTCGTTGTCCGATTCATCGTTCAACTTTCCAAGCTCAGGTTTAATGCTTGTGTCATCACAGGTGACCCTATCAGCAGTCCAAAAGACCTGTGACATGCCTAGAGTCAAGCCCTTGATGATTCCTTGCTGACCCTGCACAATGCTTTGCGACTTCATGTCCTGAATCAGCGAAATATCTCGATTGGAATCAAGACAGACCAAACGAGACCCAAACTCGGCCAGGGAAACAATGGGCGATTGCTGAACTTCGGTTCCAATAGGCCCAAAGTCCTCCCCTTCTTCTTGGAGCACCTCATCGAGAGAAACCACTGCAATCTTACCTCCAAATGCCATACATATCTCACCATCTGAGTTCATACACACAGCAGAAACGGGAGATAGCCTCTGCCAACGGATAGTAAGCTTGGGAGTCTCTTCAGATACATTCAAGACTGCCACTAGCCCCTCCTTACTTCCAATGACAGCCTCGAGCTGATTAATGGGACATACGGAGGTGCAGGTGACATTGTTGACCAATCCCATCACAGGATTTCGGCCCGACAGAACCTGAATGTTCTGAAGCCCTCCTTCCTTATCCTCTACCTTCCATACCCGGACATGGTGATCTCCAACAGTGATAAGAATCTTGTCCGAGAGCCACCGCATGTCTTCCACCTGGGATATGCATTTGTTGGACGAATGTAGACGTACACCCTTGTCCTGGACATGCCAAATGTGAAGATAACCGTCATTTAGGGTTCCCAAAGAGGCCAGAAATGTCCCGCAAGGGGACCATCGCAGGAACCGTACTCCAAAAGAGTGCTGAGTGATCACTGCAACCGGACAACTGGAATCAGAATCCGGTGCTGTGCTGAAAATCGAAATCTTGGGACTGTGCCCGGTTTCTCCCAATGCCAATAGGCGCCCATCTGGTCTGATAGCCACAGCAGTAGCACTCTTGGCGCGTTCTTTCACAGGAGAAGGCATTTTAGGAGGCGAAGCATCCACCGGAGATTCTTCCGACGCTCCCAAATACTGTGTCTGTGATGAAAACCCGTAGCTGTCTCGCGTAGCTGTGATTTGGAACGCTTCAAAAGACGCATTGAGCTGATCTGTGTTCCTCAAACAAAAGTACCGTTGTTTGAGACCCAAAGACGTGCTGTAGTGACCCAGAACTGCGCCTGTACCGGCAGTGTATGCTATGGTCTGTCTCTGGACATCAAAGGTCATGTTGGAAGAGGCGCTCGCTCCAATTGTGTTTGACACGGTCAAAAATGATCTCTCTGTCGCGGGTATTAAATTGCGCTTGGACCCCGCTGGTTTTGTACCATTTGTGGGAGACACGGCGGGTGAGTCGCCAGGGCCGAGAGGCTGAGGCCGACCTGTTTGGTTGGCCGGCCGGTCCAATTGATACGGGCGTAAATCATCAGACATGTCGTTTTCCTCTATGTTATCATGCCATGTTTTGAAGCACATACAGGAGATTGGGTTAGGGTTTGCTTGCTGATCTAATTAAGATCTGCTTTTGGAGAAGGTCACGTGAACTATCCGAGAAGAGAGAGGGAATTGGAGAATTCAAGATGGTGTATCTAGACAATGGCGGGCGCTTGGTTCGGTCTCTATACTCGTTTAGGCTTCCTCTGTATTGTTCCAAGCGATAAGTTGTTAGCACCACTACTTGGTACGCTACGCTATGTATAGTATGTATGTACAGTATAGTATGCAGTATGTACTTGATTATACTACGAGCACTTGTAGACTACCAAAGTCAGTATAAGAACATAGGAAGTAGGGAATTAAAAACGCTACGAGTACACGCCAATGTACGGCACTTTAACATAGAGCTGCTACAGTGTCGTAGATACGCTACTCAGCCATATTCTTTCCCCATAAACGAGAGATCCAACCACCCCTATCAAGGTTAATCTCACATGTGCTGCAGTGCATGCACACCAGAGACGATACAAGAGCACCACCAAGAAGTGCACCATTATACATCGTTATTCATAAAGTCTATAATAATTTACAGCAAACCACAGTTGCCCGGTTTGCCTAGAGCCGCTCGTATCGAACACCCTCGCTTCTCCAGAGCTTCTGCCACCAACGCCGCTTGGGTTTGACTGTCTGGCTCTCCATGTCTCGCCACTCGTCAGAGCCATATTCGGTGTCCTTGGGGGGTTGCCATTTCTTGAGAGCCAGAGAAGAAACAATAACAGACACGGAACTCAGCGCCATGGCTGCAGATGCCTCCATGGGGTGCAGCATAAAGTTGAATGGCAGGAAGCAGCCCATAGCAAAGGGAATCATAATCAGGTTGTACACGGAGGCCCACACGAGGTTGATTTTGATTCGTCGGAAGGTGACCTGCGATAGGTTAATGGAGGCAGGGACGTCCATGAGACTCTCCTTGTTGAGCAGCACAATATCGGCAGCGTCCATGGCGATGTCGGTTCCGGAGGACATTGCAATTCCAATAGCAGCCTTGGCCAGGGCAGGCGAGTCGTTGATACCATCGCCGACCATGGCAACCACAGAGGCATTTAGAGACAGATCTGTGGAGTCAGCAGCTTCGTTGGGGTCCTGGGGCTCCTGCAGCTGTTCGATGATGGCGAGCTTCTGAGCAGGCGAGGTCGATGCCCAGACATTGGATCGGGGGATACCGACCTCATCAGCAACAGCGTGGGCAACGAAGTGGTTGTCTCCGGTCATCATGGCGACGTTGATTCCCATCTTCTTGAGCACAGACACTGCAGCTCGAGCGTCGGACTTGACGCTATCAGCAAAGGCCATGTAACCGACATACTGGCCGTCAACACAAGCATGGATCACAGTAGCAGGGTTGTCAGGGGAGTGAGGGGTGGCGGGGGGCTTATCCAGCGACTTGCAGGACGAGTTGACAAGCTCAGAAGAGCCAACAGCAACACTGTGGCCATCAACTACACCAGTAACACCCTGACCAACAATAGCAACAAAGTCAGCCACACCGGGAACATCCTCAACCTGGGCAGCCTCCTTCGCCTGTCGAACTAGAGACTGGGCAATGGGATGTTCAGACGAAGCCTCCACGCCAGCCAGAATTAGCCACATTTCAGTTTCGGTCATGTTGAGGTTCTTGAGAGTATCCTTCTCAAAGACGTGTTTTTGAATGGTCATTCGGCCGGTGGTGAGTGTACCAGTCTTATCGAAAACAACAGTCTTGATCTTTGAAGCGGTTTCCAAAACTGCTCCGCCCTTTACAAGAATACCATGAGTAGCTCCAACACCAGTTCCGACCATGACCGCTGTGGGAGTGGCAAGACCAAGAGCACAGGGACAAGCAACGACCACGACAGAGATGCACAGACGAAGACAGATGAGGAACTTTCCTTCGGGCAGAGAAAAGACGTTAGGAGGATGCTTCATGACGTTGCTCATGATAATCCAGAAGATGAAGGTAAGCAGGGCAAGAGCAACAACACATGGCACAAAGACTCCGGAAATCTTGTCGGCGTATCGCTGGATCTCGGCCTGAGAGGTCTGGGCCTCCTCAACTAGCCGGACAATGTTGGCAAGGGCAGTATCCTTACCAGCACGCTCGACTCGGAAGTCAATACGCCCAGAGCCGTTAATGGAGCCACCCACAACCTGGTCTCCAACCTTTCGGACCACAGGAGTAGACTCTCCAGTGAGAAGAGACTCATCGATATAAGTTTCACCGGAAACGACGACTCCGTCAGCAGGTACCTTGGCACCAGGCTTGAGAATGACAATATCACCTCTCTGAAGAAGCTCGGCAGCAATATCCATCTCGGCAGACTCGTCGTATACAATACTGGGGTCGTACTTGGAGGAGTCCTTGAGAATAGTGGCAGTGGTAGGAGTCAGGGAAATAAGCTTACTGAGGGCACCCGAGGTCTGTCCCTTGGCTCGATTTTCCAAGTATTTTCCGAGGGTCGTGAAGGCAATCAGCATTGCCGAAGTCTCAAACAGAGTATGAGGGTGAGTATCGGCCACAGTGGCGATCGCATAGAGCATGGAAAAGACAGAAAAGAAGTAGGCTGAGGAGGTGGAGATGGCCACCAACACGTCCATGGTGGCAGTTCCATGGGACAGAGCTCGTCGCGAAGAGACATAGAACTTGTGGCCCAGCCAAAACTGGATGTATGTTGCCAGCACAAAGCAGACGAGATCGTCCACGTACAGGCCCTTGAAGATGGTTAGATCATGCAGAGGCTGGAGACCAACCATGGGAAGAATATGAGTGAGCAACATCACAGGCAGACCAAGAATGAAACACTGGATACCGTCGCTTCGCCATTTCTGTATCTCCTTGATTCGAGATAAGCTTGCTAGTTGGGTAGCGTTATCTTGCTGTGCAGATAGGACGCCCTCAAAGCCACAGTCTTCAATGGCGTTGATGATGTCTCGAGCTCCACATTCCTGGGGATTGAAAGAAATGGTGGCCTCCTCAGTCGCGAGAGCAACCACGACATTGGCGACGCCTCTAATGTCCTGGATAGTGTCTCGCACTGCGTTGGTACAACTGGAACAGGTCATTCCGAAGATCTTAACCTTGAGACGTTCCATGGGTGTGCTGACGGGCGCAGCTATCGGCGATGAGTCGATGAGCGAGGCGTCGAAGCCGCAGTCCTCTATTCTTTCCTGCAGCTCTTCGGCGGAGATTATGCTCTTGTTGTGGTGTACACTGGCTCGTTCGGTGACCAGAGACACAGCTGCTTCTGTGACACCGGGACATGCCTCCAGGCCGTTGATGATGGCGGAGACGCACGATCCGCATGTCATGCCGCCGACCTGGTAAGCCGAGGTGGTGTCGGGCTTAGGTGGCGTTGTGGAGCTATCACCAGCTTCTTTCATGGTGAGCAAATTATGCACTTTTGGTTTAATCTGAGCGTGTGGAAGAGATGAGCTCTGCTTGGCGGTGCAGATGTCGATGAGCGTTCAATATCAAGATGTGGTTGCAACACTTGTTGATACTGGCGAGCCCTCTGTTTTGGTCAAGTGCTGTGTAATGGCTGTGATGTGATGTGATGTGAAGAGACAACTGATAGTTCACTTGGGTTGCTACACGTTGCGGTATTTTCAGTGGAAACTGGTTTTGGACACCTGTCGTATGTGAGTCGCTTGCGCAGCCGGTGTATCGAGTGACCAAGTCGGGCAACTGAGATGTGGAGTGATGATATGAGGGCTGGTGAATTTTGGCTTTGCACTTCTCCAATTGACAAAGTTCACTTGAACCTGCTTGGCCAAAGGTAAAACGGCACGAGCCGAGATGCGTCTTGTCCGGTGTATAGGTGGCGACAGACAATACCATTAGTGTCAGAGACCCACTACCAGTGGTATGGCTGGTGCTAAAGCCCCCCAGACGAGCAGAACCAAATCGTATATACTTACTTCCCCAGTCACACCATGATCATCGCCTCACATTTGTTTTTGTCGGCTCAAATCACCCCACTGAACCCTGCACGTTAAACTCGCACCCGTCAACACAGGCCCTCAAATTGCTCACACGTGCAGTAGTAAAATTCATCTAAGACCGCCCGTATATAGACTCGTCTGTAAACTCCTGGCGCCCACGTTGTGGCAATGTATTTGCGACCCCCAAAATTGCACAAACCAGTGGTTACAGGGACTCTCCACTTTTGCCCCTACTTCCAGGCCTCCTATGTACGGCTTACTTGCCCCCAAACCATGCATACAAATCAGATAAAAAAGTTCTTGAAAAATTTATCTGATCCGGGTCGGAAGAGTGTGAATACAGTAGCGGCCATTTAATGACGTAAGGGAGTGTAGAGGAGACAGGGGAAAAATTAGTGCACAGTATACACAGTATATAATAAACTCCTGCGATTAAAATGATGCTCCACTCGGGGCATAACAATCCGCTATCCACAAACAATGTGTCTCTGACCTGCTCCTCCACCTATGGAAGCACCATCGGAACCCGAAAAAGGTGTACACCAAATACATGAACGATGCAAACCTAACAAAGCCTTTCAGGAGGGAAAAAAAAATAACGTCAAACTCAGCTGTAGATCCAGATAATATCTTGGCTTTCTAGCGGGAACCATGGTTGGGTCTCACCAGCATTCGTATCGCAGGTCCCGTGACATTCAGGTACGCACAACTTATACATACTACAAGTAGCTACACTTTCACTCTCTTGTCCCCCTCCCCTTCGACGTCACAAACTACGGTGTACAGTACGGATATATTTATGCTTGATTTCCTATTTACTCAGGATTGATGCTTGCTCGTTCCATCTTCAGGGCCTTCATGGCTTTTTGAACGTCATCCTCATCCATGTGCAGGCCCTTGTTGTCCTCAATAGTCTTGTTGATGACTCGCTGCATCTGCGAGGGCGGCTTGACAGGGGAGTGGTCAGAGTCGTTGTCTAGGTCGACGTCATCATCATCGTCGTCATCCTCCTCCAGCGCGTCGCTCTCAGCGTCCACAAACTCCTCATCGTCATCATAGTCATCGTCATCGTCGTACTCGTATCCGTCGTCAAGATCAAGATCGTACGAAACGGGCTGGAATCGAGAGTTCGTAGGAGCCTTCTTATAGCTGAACTTCGACGGGTTCGCGGAGTCCTTCGGCTCGGAGGGTCCGGCAGGGTCGGCGCCCGAGCCTGAGGGAGCCGCGCTGGAGCCTGCCGAACCGGCCCGCGGGCTTCTAGGAGATCTGGGCGACTTGGGCGACTTGGAGAGCTCATCATCGTCAGTCAGCTCGTCGTCGGTCAGATCAGACAGGTCAATAATGGGATCTCGCCAGTAGTTGACGTCCGTGTATTTTTCCTCCTGAATGGTCGTGAACTCGCTTTCCGGAGGGAAAAAGTGGTCGACAAGATCGGCAATGTGGACATACGAGGACTTGTAGCCAGCCAGTTCAAGCAGCTCCATATGGACCTCGGCGTTCGAGTTGATTGTGAAGATTCTAGACGACGGCACACCGACAGATCTATACGACAACGCGTCGGTGATTCGGTTGCCAAATCCAGCGTAGAATGGATTGGTGGCGTCTTCGGTCTCGCCAAACAGCGACTTAATGTCCCGCAGACACGCCATCTTGAATACCTCAGGTTTCTTAAGAATCACCTCTCTCTTGAGAGCCGCCAGGGTTCTATCAGGCGACAAGATGACGGGTCCTGGAGGCAGCTTGAAGCCAAACTGGTCAACACCGCCTAGATATGCCCTGGTTGCATCTGCCTGTCCCACTGATCGTGCTGTCAGATACATGATATTATACCCGTTGGCTCTGATATCGGAAAAGAGCTTGGCCACGCCGGTGTGGGTCCAGTCTCGGCCCATCATGGTGAGCAGATGGCCCAGAGCATCGGACTTGGTGATCGTGCCATCAATGTCGGAAATGACAACAGGAATGTCGTACTTCCAGTAGAACAGCTGGGCCGAACACGACGTCTTGCCGTTATTGACAGCAAAGGTGACCTCGTTCTTGCCGGGCTTGAGATCCAGAGACTTGAGCTGGTCAGACGTCAAACGGATGGTCTTGGCGTAGTGCTTGTTGTCCGAGGCCTGAGACGGAAGGTTAGAAGAAGGGAGGGGCTGAGGGGAGTGGGCCAGAGACTCGGGCGAGCTCATATGCTCGTGATGGTGGCTGTCTCCAGCGCTCTGAATCACAAGGTTACCCTCCTCGTCTTCAACCAGGATGTGGGACAGGTCTCTGTCTTCTCCCAGTTCCTCAGCGAGGATTTTCTTGACCAGCTCCTCTGATCGACTCACGTCCTCGTGGTCGTACTTGTAACCAGTCATATCCAGAATAATGTCTCCGTTGTCGGAGATTTTACTCTGAATGTTTTCTGATGTGAGTTTCTTGGACAGTGCACGGGCCTTCTCCCAAATCTCCTCGGACGAAGGGGCGGGAGAAGTGGCAGCCCGGTGGAGACTCTGCTCAAGATCCAGAGGCTCTGTGGGCTCTGTGGGCTCTGTAGGCTCTGTGAGCTCTGTGGGTTCTGTCTCTGTGGGTCCAGAAGTGTCTGTTCGATCAGTATCGCTGTTGGAAAACGAGGCCGAAGAGATGCCTTCCGAGATAGTGGCTGGGTGTTTCAACGAACCAGGAACAGGCTCTGGAGCTGCCGTGCTCGCACGTTGTCTTCTGTTCACCTCAGGGTCATTCTCATCATCGAAGCTGCCCATCTCATGTAAGTGATCCGCCGAAGGTGATCTGAATGGTGGGCCCTCCGAGGGCGATCTGCCGTGCTTGCTGTCGCCACCCTGTTTAGAGTCGTTCAGAGCAAGGTAGTCCGGCTCACCATCCCCGCCTTCCTCCTGGCCCCAGGATGGCGACGAAGAGGGAGAAATGACGGGGGATGTCAGGAGCTCTTCGGGCACGTCTGCGTCGGTCTCGAACACAAAGAAGACTTCTCCTCCATCGCCCACCTTCATGGGCAGCTCGGTCTTGGTGCCATTGACACAGAACTCGACCTTTTTCTGGGACGGTCGCAGCAGGGAAAAGATTCCAAACCGCACATGGAAAGGAGAGCAGTTTAGTTCACCTGGGTTAGTGTGTGGATATGGTGGTTATGGGGATGAGGTGTTACGCCACCACGTTGTGTTCATGTGTTGAGTGTTTCGAGTGAGTGGGAAGTAGTTGACAGGAAACCCGAAACAAGCTGGTTGCTCCAGTTGTATTGGCCTCTTACAACTTTGTCCATATGACATAACAACTGTGAATCATACTGTTGCCACCTGGGCACGATTACAGTCATGGTGTACAACATGTGGTCACATCATACGGACCATGATAGTTACAAGAGTGGTGTAACTGCCAGTTAGAAGTAACAACTGTAAGGCCACTTGCACCCACTCTCTGTTCTCAAAGTCCACTTCTCTATCACCCTCTCAACTTGCATCCTGTAAGTCACCGTCGGTCACTGCATCAGCTCCACTTCTCCAACAGCCTCTTGATGGCCATACTCACCGTCTTCCCGCTCGACCACAATGATGTCAATTGCACCACTGAGTGTTGCAGGGTTGATGGAGTTCCAGGTCTTGGAAACGGTTCCAATGGCTCGCCCAACGTACTGCATCGTGTGGTTGTGTGGTGATGATCTGTTGGGCACCTTCACAGAGTTCGGTATACATACAGATATGCAGCAAGTACAAGGAGGGGTTTGCTGTTCCAATCGATGTGATCACGTGGGGAGTGGATGAAAAGTGCCGACTAGCACACAGAAATACAGCCTGAAAAGCAAACAAACATGGCTGGAATCACGGTTCAAAATCACCAGCCCTGGGCCCAACAATTATACAAAATTCATCACCGTTACTTGGCCTAAATGGGGCGGCCTGTGTGTGTGGAACCTTGTCTCCGAGGCTCGGGAAAACGACTCAAGCGAAAATACGAGGGGGGGGTGCACAACTGAGGTGAGAGTGAGGCCACAACAGCTTCTCATGCCAGATGTAGATGTAATATTGGGCAAATAACCGAATTTTTTAGTCATCGGAGATGTGCAAGGGTAGATTATGTCACTAACAGCTCTCCAATCACAGTTCTACCTCGGCTTGTTTTTGGCACCTTAGTAGTTCGATGTTCAAGTATAGCCGGCTGGGCCTAAATGCTCTTGGCCACAGTGGGTAGTGCGTGTAACAACACAAATACATACATAATATGGGCGCAGTACGTACTTGTACGTACCATGCCGATAGAGACTATTTCACATCATAAAGACTGTTTTTGGACATGTAATGTGGATGTCTTGCAAGCCTCTCTGTCTATCTGAAACTTGCTTGCTGTCTCCTGCCCAAGACCGTCAATAACCAGACACCACCACCCCTGCAAATGTAAGCTTCCCCACCTTGTAGGGCTAGGGTCTGCTGGCACTTAACGGTCCGGATTTGGGTTCGATGATGTAAGCTGAAGAGCACGAAGGGGACGATGAAGAGTTCACCCAGAACTTTGTACTGAGACGGTGGCGAACTCAGAAATCCAGACTTGTTTACGTAACCAACACTGAAACGACCCATGTGTGTAAACTATCCTATTAGCTTATTTCGGACTACTCCTTCTGCGGGCGGTCCTCAGTCAGACATTTACTGGCCATTTCTGCAAGTACGACACATCGCATGTCCCAAATCGGAATATCCTAAACTCAAAACCCGTTACTAAGCAACCTCTCAATTACCTGCTCCAACTCCAAGGTCCTCCCTCGTGCATGTCTCAGGACTGTGGCAAAAAAATTCCTCGAAAAGTTAAGCTTCGAGGTCATTTTTGTTGCACGTGAGGGCCATAAAGGACCCGCAATCTACGAAAATATAGAGATAGAGAGGAGTTTTTGTGGGATAAATTCAATGAAAATAATATATTGACAATACTGAACACTTTGTCACCCCTCTCTGGCCGTCACAACGCCTGTGCATCATTTTATGGAATTCTGCCCACCTTGCATAATCAGAATTAGGCTTTGAAAAGTTTGTGCGTACAGTAGCTAACCTTTGGAGGCTCTGATAATTCTCACCACTCAGTCCATCTCAAGCTCATCTCAACGCTTTCTACCGTTTCGCTACAGAAGAACAAAAAGAAGAGATACACAGAAACGATGGAAAGTCCAGTAGCATTGGAGTCGAGAGGGCTCTCGTTGAAGAGAAAGAGGGTGGATTCGCCCCAAGTGATGGCTTTAAAGAAACCAAGGGATGAGGGAGGAGTGCTTCCTCAGGATGATGGCAAACTGACTACTTGTCCAGAAACAGGTGACCTATCTGCAGGCGTTTACAAGGCGTTCGTTAAGAATGCCCTAGATGAAGTTGAAAAGGTGAGTTATGCTGTCTTTCCCATTTATACATCCCCCCTTACGAACCGTCGTCTTCGCCTCTCATGTTCTCTTTTTCTAACCTAGCAAAACTACAGCCCACTCGGCAAGTTGACCGACCAGATTACTAAAAAGGCCGACTCGCCCGACGCGCTGTCCAACGACCAGCTCACACACATGATCCAGGCGCTGTCCATTGAAATCAGCCGGCTGGACTCCCCACGATGCTCCAAGCTCATCAACGGCGTGGTGCGTCTACATCTCGAAAAACGACAGCCGTCCCAGGCGCTTACAGACACATACTACCGGTTTCTCGCAGTGCTCGTCTCCGCCGTGCCACGATGGTGGTCCGACGTTGCGACTCAACTGGTGGCCGACTTCACTCTAGACGATGCCTCTGCCCAGCATTCAGCACTGCGATACATGATCAGCATTACACCCACGTCAGCTACTCTGCTGCAAGGAATGCTGCTCGATGCCTTCCCCAATAAAATGGATACCACCGCGCGACTGTGCAACTTCATTCGGAACGCCCTCATCACCACCGAGTACTGTCCTGCGCTAAGAAATGCAGTGTGGGGCATGGTTGTGGAAAAGAGTGTGCAGATTGACGTGGAACTGCAAGACGAACTGGACGAGATGGATGAAGAAGAGCTCTTTGACGCTGGTCTTCTCGACGCTGAGGACCCCGAAGTGGTAGATCTTGATGACGCCACTGATATCAAAGAGGGAGAAGAAGACGGTAACGACGGACTGGCTCTGGGAGACTCAGATGATGAACTCGACGATGACGATGACGATCATATCGAAGTCAACGATGCCTCGTCTGTCGGAGAGCTCCTGGCCAAGCTCGACGGAATCGTGTCTCTTCTTCTCATGCATGTTGGAGGAAAGTTCAACGATGGCCCCGAGGAAATCACCACGGAAACAGTGTCCATGTATGCATCTCTCATCAACGTGTTCAAGACGTATCTTCTGCCTACGCACAGAACCCGTTTTGTGCAATACATTGTCTTCCAGGCGTCGCAAGCATGTCCTGAGTTCATGGACGCCTTTCTTGCTTCTCTCATCGAGATCACTCTGTCGTCTGGAGAAGGCATGGACAAGCGGTCCAAGGCCATGCAATACATTGCATCTTACATTGCACGGGCTAAACATCTCTCCAAGGCCCAGATTGTATTTGTGGTGAGCATGCTGACCGGCTGGATCGACAGATATGTGTCTGAACGAGAAGCCGAAGTCAATGGCGTGCCTGGCTCCATGGAGCGATTCAAGACATTTTACTCTGTCGTCCAAGGTCTCATGTACATCTTTTGTTTCAGAAACGAGATGCTGCGACTGGACTCTGATGCTCCCGAGGGCGACTCAGTTTGGGAGTGCAAGCTCGACAAGTTCTTCCAGCGAATCATCATGACCAAGTTCAACCCTCTGCAATACTGCAACCATTCCGTGGTCGCCATGTTCGCCAAGATTGCCCATCACCACGATGCAGCCTACTGCTTTACTATCATCGATGAGAACAAGCGAGGCATCGTGCGAAAGGATCTGCATGATAAGAAGGATAAGACCATGCCCCCCCGTGCCTTCATGGAGGGAGCTGCCACTCTGTTTGATGGTCCCCAGAAGGAGTTTACTCAACTCGAGGGCTACTTCCCCTTCGATCCTCTTCTTCTCAAACGGTCCAGAAGTGTTCTCGGAGACCTCTACATTGAATGGAGTGAAGTTGCTGAGGACCTTGACTCGGACAGTGAAGATGGAGACGAGAGTGACGGAGGAGACCATGAAGATGACATGGAGGAGGACGTGGAGGATGATGACGAGTAAAGTGCCGATAACCAACCCAATGCATCTCAGCAAGATGTTCACCTGCATCACTCTACATCTTGCTAACATTATAGACGGTCCACACCAGGTCCACTTTTTTAAACTAAGCTGCTATCCAAGCAGAATACATTGATGTTATAACGATAGTATGTACAGTAGTTCGCGAGTATGAGTAGTACTGTAGCACAAGATAAGGGTGAAGTATCGTACAAAACAGCACAGCAGAACATAGCATCAACAAGTCATCATCGAACTTCCCGCCATAAACAAAACAACAGAGCGCAGCGCAAACGACACCACCTGTTATACTCCACTTTAGTCCTCCACTCATAAATCTCAACGCATGCGATACTCTACCTGTGTCATATCCACAGCATATCCGAACATGGGCGTTCTGCCATCTTCTCAAATCGTAAGTCATTAGTCTATAATCTGGGGTATGCATGGTGGCTGGTGTGCTCAGATAAGATGTCAATAACAGAAGACGCACACCATCCATGAAGCTGCCCCCACACAGTTCGTGTCGTTATTTCTCGCTGTTCTTCGTTGTAAGTCGCCTTCATCCCTTCTCTATCTCCGCTGAAACTTCTTGAGCACAATCTTTCGTCCTCCAAGACCCAAACCTCCCATGGGTGGCGCGTAGGTAAGGAAGTTGCCGATCCAGAAGAGCTTCTGTGCAAGACTGGTGCCGCGGGGATCGGCCGGACCGAAAACGGTCCGTAAAAAATGCAATAGAGTGATCCAGTCGTTAGTCGTGAGTGTCGGTAGCATGATGTAGAGTCTAGGCACAGGTATGTACAAGTACGCACTGTACCTTGGTTGTAGCACTATCCAGTGATCGGAACCTTAACTGAATATGTTTAGTTGATATGTGAAACCTCTTCTCGTACTTGTACAGAGACCTGGGACTTGACATTATAAACAACACCAATATCTTGCAATACCTTTTTTCTCTAATATTAATGCAATTATCCTAAATTTTACTTTATCCCCCAGTAACCTCTCGTTACTTTCTCTCCTTTATCAACTTCATCAATGCAACCTCCTCCTGAGACGGTTCACTGACGTGCTCCTCCTTCCACCGTCTCTTGAACTGTTCAGCCTCCTCTTCGTACCGCTTGGCCTGGATTCTGTATTCCTCCGTCTTCTTAGCGTTGAGAGCCTTGATTTCGTTCGTCTGGTCAATGTATGGCTGCTTCTCCGAGTCGGGCAGATCTCGCCACATTTTACCCAGAGCAGAACGAACCTCGTTACGAGCAGCTCGCATAGTAGGCTCACCAGAAGATTCTTGTTTCTTCTTATCGCAGATGGCTCGACACTTGTCCCAAAAGTCCTTCTGGAAAATGAGGAAGGGGTTCGCACCAGCTCTCTCGGGCTTAATGGGCCGCTCGCCAATCTCAGCAACCATCTCGTCTCTCATAATCTCATTGGATTTGGACACACGCTCGTCACGTAGCTCCTTGAGCCGCGTCTGGTTAGTGTCTTGCTCCACAGCCTTCTTCTTGACGTCCACGGGTGGCGAAGGCTCCGCTGGACGTTTCTTCTTGGCCATCACGGGCTGAGGCAGATGAACAGCAGGTGCATGTGGAGCCATGGACTCCTCCTCAACAAGCATAGGCTGAGAGCCATACGCAGGTTGGCCGTAAATGGACATTCTGTGAGGACCACCCATCGCCATCTGCTGCGGCTGCTGCTGCTGGCCGGGGGTCTGGTGATGCTGCATGAACGACCGACGGAAACCAGCCATTTTATGAGGCACGAGGGGATGAGGCATCTCAATCTCGCCAATCAGCGAGTCCAGAATCTCAGACGCTGCCCTCAAAGAAGACAGGTACGCTCCATGAACAGTGGACGGATGAGTACGGCAAGTAGCTTCACCAGCAAAGAAAATGTCATGATGGACAGGTCGAGCCAGGAGATCGAAATCTGCACCAGTGGCCTCCAAACCAATGCAAGAGTAAGCACCACGGGAAAACGGATCAATCTGCCATCTAGTAACGATACTCTCCACTGGCGAAGGCGTTGCATCCTTGCCTGTGATGACCTGTAGAGACTTTAGAGCAGCGTCGACAATCTCCTCGTCAGACTTGTCAGCCATAATTTTGGCTGCTTCACCAGACACCGTTCCAATCAGACAAGGCTTTCCGACAACTGCAGAGTTATTCCAAAACATGTTACAGAATCCACGGGCCTGCTTGAAGCCAGCGTCGTCTGCAGAACCGTTGGCTGCGTCCTTGACGACACACAAAACGTCCTTGGAGTCGTCCCAGAAACACTCATCAAAAACCAGACAGATCTTGTTTACCACTCCAAAAGCTAGACGCTCAATAGAGTCGGTTTTCCACTGAGGAAGATCGGGAATGAACTGAATGGCTCTAGCCTTGAGAACCCCTAGGGGCACAGTGACGCAAATCTTGTCCGCATGGATTCGCTCTCCATTCTCCAGAAAGATGGACGTCTGCTCCTCATCCTCATACTCGACTACCTTGGCGGTCGAGTTAAACCGCACATCCAGCTTATCAGGGTAGGTATAGAGACCTCGAACAGTGGACATGAAGCCGTTGGGGATACGGGAATGGCGGCCCGTGAACTCGTGACCCTCATCCTGATTCCACGACGACAGAGAAAGCTGATCCAAGCTGGTTCCGTTGGCAAACTCGAGGTTGGCAAGATGCCAATGTAATAGCCGAGTGTCTTCTTCGGTTAGGGTGATGAATCGCTGAATCCGCACTAGCAGTTTGTCGATGGTTCGTCCCAGAGAAGGATGTACCTCACCAGGAGGCTCAGATGTGACTGGAATGGTCTTGTCCTTGGACCGAATGGTCACGGGCTTTCTCTTAAAGCCTAGTGACTCAAGATAAGTTATGTCGTCAGGCAGGAATGTGGGCTCTTGCTGTTCGTTGGGCTGTTCGTTGGGCGAATATGACTCCTCCATCTTGGCAATGATCTCGTAAGTGTCGTGGAAGTCCTCCTTGTGAGGGTCTTTGCCAGCAGTCATCAGCGCCTCATCTCCTTCAATGGTCTTGGGAGGAGTAGATTGAGACTTGAATACTGATAGTTTGGCAAGCAGGTATTCTAGTAATTTTTCCACACGAGTATCGCCATCATCGGAAACAGGACCGCCACTGGTCTCATCGATAATATTGGTAGATGTATCGATTCCAACCAAAGGCAAACCCAGCTGTCGACGAGCTAAGATGGCAAGAGGGTTACCTCTTCCAAAGCCCATAATGACTGAACCTCCGAGATCTGCCCGGTAATTGGGGTCACTCTTGAGCGGTTGTGTGTAGATTCGTCCTCCAATTCGCTTTCGGCCTTCAAGCACAACTACTCGTGGTACATCTTCGTACTCCTCGAACCGGTCAGCATAGAGATTGAACAGGTTTTCGAGCTGACGAGCACATCCTAGACCAGCAATTCCAGCTCCAATAACCACAACTGTAAGTCGTGGCTTTCGGTCTCGGAACTCCTGTCCAGGGGAAGTTGGAGGCTCCTCTTTGGCGACCTCGATGCAACCAAAGTTGATGTAGCCTTGCCGAACCAAAAACTCGTAGGCCACTTCAGCGAGGTAGAAGTATCGCTCCTCTCTTGCCACTCCAGCAGCCTCGATAAGCGACACACCTACCAGTGGGTTACACAACCACAGTCGCAGAATACCGTTACGGATGTTCAGGTAGGTGGTCACGTGAAGAGGACTGAGATGGTTTCGCAGAAGATCAAACTCGTCAGGGCACAGAGCCAGGGGATTGAGTCGAGACGAAATGGCTGCGCTCAAACACTGACTTGCGTATCGAGATGAAGAAATGTCCTTTGGAATCGAACTTTTGGGCTTGTATGTGAGTCTTCGCGAGTCTCGATTAGAGAGTATGTATGGCGGGGCAGGAATAGCGCCCGGTCCTGGGGTTCCAGGATGGAGAGGGGTTCCGTTTCGCGACTGATACTCTGAATCGGGAAGAGGCGAGTGGGTGTGGGGAGGGTACTCGAACGGCTGTTGGGCCTGTGGTCTCAATGTCTGGATTCTCGATCTCGAGTTGGACCGCTGGAAGTGAGGTTTTTGCGGTTGAGGTTGCTGAGTCGCTTGCTGCTGCTGCTGCTGCTGCTGCTGCTGCTGTTGTTGTTGTTGCTGCTGCTGCTGCTGTTGTTGTTGTGATTGTTGTGACTGTTGTCGCTGGTGCTGCTGTATTTGCGCATGCTGTGATTGTAGGTGTTGATCCAGCCGCCGCTGCATCTGGATTTGATTCACTTCGAATTGGTTCATATTCGGTGTCATGATGGCCGCATTGTGGTTGTGATTATGTGGCTGTTGCTGTTGAGGCTGCTGGGGAGGCTGCTGTTGATCGTGATGGATGACCTGGTGAGCAGTGTGACGCTGTTGTGCGGGCTGAGATTGTTGTTGAAGCTGCTGCTGTGGTTGCTGCGGCTGCTGTGGTTGTTGTTGCTGCTGCTGGAACATGAAGTCGACACCCTGTTCTTGGACGCCACCATGAACACGAGTAGGTAGCTGGGGTTGCTGGGGCTGATGCTGTTGCTGTTGCTGTTGAGTACCTGCTTGGCCCTGACCTCCATCTTCAAGCATGATCTGTTGCGATTGAGACTCGCTGGCAAAATCCAAGAACGAGGTTCCCTGGTCCATGCCGATTTGATTCACGTCCATCATGTAAGGAGCATTGTCCATATTCATGCCTGTAGAGGTGTTGTCCACATACCACAGATTAGGGTCCTGCATGTCATTGTCGAGAATATCAATGGGGTCTGGCGACTCAAACGCCTCCTGCTTGCCATTGTCGAGGAGCTGGTGTTGCGGTTGGTTTTGATGTGTGTGTTGCTGCTGCTGCTGCTGCTGCTGCTGCTGTTGCTGTTGTTGCTGTTGGGTGGGCTTGAAGCCCATGCCGTCATAGGCCTGTCTTCGATTTTTCGAAAACAGATGTAAGCGTTGTCGTTCCACTGTATTAGTTGTGTCCAAGCGACTGTAGCTGATAACGATTCACACCGATTCACAGATACCCCAAGGTGCTCAAGGAAGGCTTCCATCTACAGCAGCCCTCTAGTGAACCAAATAGAACCATCACAAAGCCTCCATGATCCTCTGTCGCTCCATCGACTCGATTTTGCGCCATTGAGTGACTTCCGGTATCTAGCCGGCTGTTGACTCTGGTGGGGTGAACCGAGAGAGAGACCGTTCCACCTGTGTCGTTTGCGAAGCTGTAAAGAAGCATACACTTCCTTGTCTCGTCAGATACTCACTTGGAACCGCTACTGAAGATGCATCACACTCTCGTTGCGTACGGTGATGATGGTGTTCTTGGCTCGATTTACGCTTCCCAAATGGAACTGACTGCTCGCTGCACACAAAGTTTGCCAAACCTGCATGTGCGGCAAGCGGGGCCTTGAGAAATATACGGATACGGCAATGACCATCCGGGGTAAGGGTCTGAGGAGAAAGAAGGCTTTGAAAGGGCACACGACCAGAGACTGGCGAGTGGCACATCTACGAGTATCGTACTTGTAGCACGAGTCACTTTGTATTTGGATGAGAACCTCGGCTTGTGATTACGTCTAGTTAGCGGCACGTGACCTCTTGTTGGAACCGCAGATGGTCTAATTACTCCCAAATTAGCGCGCCAACTGTTTTCGTTGGGACTCAGTGCGTGAGCGTCCTGTTGGATTGGACACTTGCTTGGCGTCAGTGCGGAGAGGTAGAGCTACAAAGTAGAGCTACAGTGTACTTGGTAGAGAGTGATACACCGCTCTGAGGGAAGGGTGTTGACTGATGGTTTCAATCTCCTTCGAGGAATGTTAGTGTTACAGATGCAAACATCGGGATCAATGGGCGGACATATCTGTGCATAGCCGTCTTTCCTCTGTTCTCTGCCTGCTCCATTCCTGTTTCACTATCGTGTCTGGAGCGCTCCTCCACCTGAACACGTACACTCCGCCCTACGATCGGCTGACCGCAAATACTGTAGCGGCTCTAAGCTTCCGCACCTTGTCAGCCCCACCGATAGCTTATTCGGTTCGAAATCTGGTGATTTTTGTCTGCTACAAGTGTGCCATAGTTTAGTGGTTCCGCACCGGAGCGATCGAGAGGCGGATACAAAATTACGAGATAACTGCGTCTCGAGATTTGGAAGTGCAAGCATGGTCGCCGCAGACAAGAGGAAACAAGCAGGTGCTACAAGTGCAGTACGAGTACCATCTGTACGAATACAAGTATCGTACAAATATCGTACAAGTGCTGTCGTTTGTGAATCCGTGTTATCGACGCACAATACGAGCACAAATTTCTCAATCTGGCGCTTGCAACCGCTGCACAGCCTCCACGGCCTTGCTCTCCCAAGCCATCTTAGTCGGGTTTCAATCGAACCTATCCGCTCTCAATAAATTATACTTCCCGATCCATCCCGCTTCCACCAGGCCCTCGCACTGTCAGAGATACACGGCTGAGTGGTCATGAAGGGTGATTGGGTCAGATTTTTAGTGCCAACAACGAAGCTACCAGGCAGGCAATTGAGGCATGGATACATACGAGCCCGTATCTCCTTACATGTCCACAGACCAAGGGCTTGCTTACGAGCCTTGGCTGCGCACGACAAGGTTTGATCCGCCGTTATATGGCTGCAAAGGAGTAGAAAGTGGAGGGGGAGAGGGTGTCAGTGCGTACTGTTGGTGTATGTTGGACACTGCTATAGAATCGTTTCAGTGCCATCATAGCTATTATGAGTATTTTGGAAGCATGGGGTTGACCCAGGCGCGTCAAAATACCACCAATACCAGTGTATAGCACCGTTTCTTGGGTCCCTTCGTGTCCGCATCTTTTTAAAACACGGTGTTTGTCTGAAAATGAGCAGTATATACCGACGGTAGCTACAAGCAGTTGTATTGATACTGTAAATCCCAAAACGGAAGCTGCAATTTGATGGCTATAACGTGTACGATACATATTGTGCCTGGAGACTGTCCCTTTCCACTGGCTACATTGCTATACAAGTACTGTAGACCCCCTTTCTGAGTAAAAGTAGGCTGCCACTAAGAGGCAAGAGACGACTTTTGGTCTGAACCGCTGTTGTGAGGTTAAAGATGGGACCGGAAGGGATACTGATACTGCTGAAAGGAGACATTTGTGCACGTCAATATTTGTCACTATAGAACTTGTACAAGTACCAGTGTCCTGAAAGTCCTCTTGACCGTTTCAAGTGAATTAATATTCTTCTAAATCTATCTTGAGATTGTTTGGTTGTGCCGACCCTCTACACACTACTGGTTAGGTAGTCTGGGGTTGTTTCATCCTTCCCAACCTCTTCTCCCAACTCCACCATCACCTTAGTCAGCAACCTTGCATGAGGTGCGTCAATGTTTATTTCCTGATTCAGTTCGCGATCTAGACGCGTCATGCCCACACTAGACGGAAACACCTGGGGGAACTCGGACCCCTCGCTGGGGTCGAAGGAGGGCTCTTTCGAGATTCCCGACCATGTCCCCGGCGCAGCGCAATTTCGAGCGCGCCAAGAGTTTGCAGCAGCGTCCAACGGGTCTGCACCGTTTGCCCGCAAGCTAGTAGGCACACAAATCCCACAAACACGACACTCGCCGTCATCGTCAACACCCAGAGAATTCACACCGCTGCTGCGGAGCGTCAAAAAGTCGTTCACAGCCACGCAGCAGCAACAGGCGTCGTACTCGCCCACAAGCTCGAGGTTTCGAGGCACAAACAGAACCGGAGGACGTCCCGACCCGTTGTTGCCTTACGACGAGCTCTCGTACTCATCCAACGAGTTTGACAATATGTCTGGAATTCAGCGTGGCTCGCTCACGCCTCAACGGCGTCAGCAAAAGGGCCCCACGGCTACCAAGGGCCTCAACGAACTGCTGTCCGAAAGCATGCCTCTCCGTGAACAGGAGACTCGAATGAAGGAGCTCAGTAACGAGAACACCAAGCTCAAGATCGACTTGCTTCAGGCCCGACAAGAACTCCATCGCAACACACCGGCGCAAATGAAGGAGATCCGAGAAGAAGTGGTGCAGCTACGATCAGACAACATGAGCCTGACCACAGAGGTGCAGCAGCTGCGGGTGATGCTGGAGGAAAGAGAACATTACATCACTCAGCTGGAGGAACAGCTGCAACAACGAGACGAAACCAACAGGTCCATTAACAACATCGGAGTTGAGGCCGAACTGGAGAGACTGCAGGGGCTGGTGGCTGACTCTGAGTACGAGGCCAACCGCAAGCAGGAGGAGCTAGACGGAGCTCTCGACGAAATCGACACTCTCAAAGCCAAATTTGAGGTTCTTGAACGAGAACGGGAGCAGGAGCGATACAATAGATCAGTCGATAGATCTATGGTAGATAAGTCCATGAACGACCAGACAATGGACTCTACCCGATCATCACGCCTCAACTGCACCCTCGACCACAACGATGCACGATTCGAAATTACCAATCTGAAACACGACATTGACCAGCTTGTTGCTGAAGTGAATCAGAAGGATGCTCAGGTTGATCAGGCTCAGGTGATTATCCAGAAACTCACCTCGGAACTGGCTGCCAAGCGAGAGGTAGAAGCTAATATCGACCGGTCGCATTCCACTACAGAAGAGACTCTGAGGCGTCAGATTGACGAGTACATTGCGCACATCGAGCGCATCAAGGAGGAGAAGGAGCGAGATATCAAAATCATGCATGCAGATCTTGACGCTCATGTTCGAAGAGCCGAGCATGACCATGCTGTTGAGCTTGACAGAGCTCGTACTGAGATTCAGCGACTCACAAGTGAATTGGGTCTTAAGGAGTCTCAGATTTCCGAGCTTCAGACTCAAATGGAGCGGTACAAGACCGAGCTTGAATCTGTTCCAATGGAGATGGAGCCCTTACGGGCAGCTATTGCTCGTCTGGAGCAGGACAAGCTCATGCTTGAGGGCACCATTGCTGATCTTGAAATCCAACTCAAGCGTAACACTATGCGGGACGATGATCGACAACAGCTAGCTGCTCAGCGTGATGAACTCATGCACCGACTCACTCAGGCCGAGAGTGAACGAAACCACTACCGTGAGAATCTCGAGAGCCGATCTCAGTACTGGGTCCATGAGAAGGCTCTTCTTGAGAGTCAGCGGGATAGCCTCCAGGAGAAGCTAGACAATGTGGATCAGAAGCACTCCAATGGCCACACCCCATCCCGAGGCTATGCAGCTATTGTTGCTCAGGAGCAAGAGAAGCTGCGTATCTACCAGTTACAGGCCGAACACACTCGTGACGAGATGCAGAAGCTGATTGACACGCAGTACCAGGACCTGAGACGCCAGACAGACGAGCTCAACGCTGCCAGCAACGAGATTGCGCGCCTGGTTGCCGTGGACAAGAAGCTGCAGGAGATGAGCAACAACATTGGTCTCATGGAGCAGCATTTCCAGGCCGAGCAGAACCGGCGGGCTCATGCCGAGGAGAAGGGTCAAATTCTGGAGCAGCAGGTGCGAGAGGCTGAGGAGCGGCTTCGAGAACTGTCGAATCGACCTCCTCCTCCTTCTCAGGGGCCAAACGAGTCTTTCATGGCCCTCAACAACAATCTGCACGAGCAGAACCGAGAGCTACGAAGCCAAATTGATGCTGGGAACCGGGAGCTCAACGGCTACAAGATTGAACTTGAGACTGCTACGCGACTTCAACATGGCGCTGAGAAGAACGTCGAGTTCCTTGAGAAGCGTGTGGCCGAGCTGGAGCGGTCCATTAGCGATTTGCGAGTTCACCTGGCAAAGGTTGAGCAGGAGAGGGACGATCTGGTGGTCAGGAAGGAAGATGAGAACCCCCAGTCTTCTTTGGAGTACGCTCTATGCCTTCTTTCCGAGAAGGAGGGCGAGATCGCGGAGATCAGAGCCACCTTTGCTGGCCAGAAGAAGAAGCTCGTGGAATACATCAAGAAGCTCCGTGACGGCCGTCGTCAGACTCGATCTGAGATTGTACCTCTTCAGAAGCTCAACCAAATGCTAGAGAAGGAATTGGAGGAGAAGGACGCTCTGTTGGCAGAGAAGGAGGCTGCCCTAGCAGACAAGAAGACTGCCTTGGAGCAGGCTCAGTCTGTAGAAGCACTTGAGGTCAAGCACCAGCATGACGTTGAGAGACTGGCGGCTGAGATTTACAGACTAAGAGGAGAGAGAGATGTGTTGAGGAGAGACCTCAAGACGGCCAAGCGTGAGAGAGACGACTACGGGCAGAGATACAGAGACTCTCAAGAAACTCATCAGCAGGAGATGGAGGAACAGATCAGAGCTATTGAGCAGATGTCGCTTAAGGAGCCTTTCCGACCTACTACTGATGCCGACGTGTCTACAGGAAGTCCGAGACACGGCTTCCAGCCTGGACCCAAGGCTAGAAGCCGAGGTCATGTCCACTCAGACTACCTTGATGCTGAGCGGAATGGTTCTCGAGGCTCATCTCATCGATATGAGTCTTCGTCACAACCACAGCCACCCTGTCTGGCAGGTGTCACGTCTTGTCACAAGTGTGAGGACGAGATTGAGTTCCTCAAGAGCGAGATTGTCACGTACGACCGCGGCGTGCGGTTCGAAATGTGCCAGACGGCGTATTTACGTATCAAGCTGCAGCGGTCTCAGGAGCTCAGGGCGTCTTTGGTCATCCAGAAGGTCTACTATGACGCTCTCGTTGCCGAGCTGCGGTTCTGCAACAGAGCTGATCTCAAGCTTCTACAGTCTATGGGTCTGACGCCGACTATCAAGAAGAAGAAGCGAGCCATCACGTTTGGAGCCGTTGCTCAGATGGTTCTCGCGACGGTTATGCTCCGTCGTCTGGGAGAGGAATATGCTGAGGACGAGCGCAAGAAGCAGCGACTCAAGGACCTCGCTGACACTTACAGCTAGTGCCACTAACAGTACTGGCATTGCTGACGTTGCTGACAGTAGCTGACGACTGACAAGCTAACGCCGCTAGCAGTCGCTAACAATTATTTATTATAATGGATATGGATATGGTAATAGTACAAGTAAAAGATGCATCTAATTAGTGGTGATGTACATACTGTAGTAGTGTGATGTGATGAGTAATAAATAAGGTAGACGCGTCGTGTTAGAATGAGTGCGGTGCTCGTACTGTACGGTAATAATACAGCAGGTGTGTTTCCTGGTTCGTAGCTACTGCTGACTCAACTCAACGAGATCCTTCTCAGCCTGGGCCAGCCTCACCTGAAAATCCTTGGCAATCTCTCCAATGATGGCAATCTTGTCGAATTCCTGCTCGATCTGGTCACACTGTTTCATGATGCGTCGCATTGCCTCGAGAGTCTCGTCGCATTGGGCAATTTCCCCTTCCGTGTATGCCTCTGTTTGGCTGTTGATGCTGTCCTGTGTCTCCTTGACAAGAGCATCTATACGCGTATCGATGGCACCCGTTAGCGCCGAAAAGGACTCGGTAAGCTTGGAAATTCCCAGCAGATCGTGCTCTTCTGAATTGGGGTCGTCTGGTACCGGTGCAAAGATGGACATGTGTGGTGGTGAGATATCTGGTTGTGTGAATTGGAACCCCTAGTTGTAGATGCACTCAGCCCATGCTGGAGTGTGCATAGAACGGGGTCACGTGGAAGGTGCAGTTGGAGAGGGAAGGATGATGAGAACATGGGGTTATTTTGTCAAGGAACATGTACTCGGCTGTTGAAGGCAGAAGAAAAATCATATTATAGGTTCTAATGGCGATACTCCAAGACAAGGTCTCTGAAAGCAGCTTGAATTAGAGATGGTTTCGCTTCATGTTTTGGAATATTATCTGATTTGCCTTGGCCAAAATCGATATCATCAATTCTAGTACTTGTATTAATCAGCATCCTTTTACTAATGCAGACAGGAAGCCGCTTTTGAGTCAATGAGAGTACTGTACAGTACATACATACCATCCATATCGGATAGCAACTACTGTACCGCACTTCCGCCTGTCAACAGCAATTTTTCACGACTACTGCCGAGCCTGCTTATTAGCTCGCTTATCATGTGGGTGCAATGCATTCTCTGCGCAGTGTTCCACCTTCCACACAGTGTGTGATGTGGTGAGAGGGGGGCGACTCTGTCGGCTTTTTTTACCGTAACTCACAATGCTCTCTTGCAAAGACTTATGCTACCGGTCCCGCTCATTATATATACTCGTACATCTATACCCCCTGCTATCTTCTCACCTTCAACTCTACCTCTGAATCATTACACCCACCCACCCGCCTCATAACTCAAACACAGTTTTAAATTGCACCACAGTTATAATCGCTCTATTGACTTGACTCTCGTCTCTACACCACCCCTCCCAAACATGCGACTTTCGAACGTGACTCTTCTCGCTCTCGCTTCCTTCGTGTACGCCAAGAACGTGATCACCATCCACCCCGTCGACGGCCCTCTCGACGACCCTAAGCCTCTCCACAAGCGAAACGAACCCGTCCAGAACGGCTTCTACCCCGGCGTCTTCATGGTCCAGGACGACTCGAGCGGGCCCCACGTCGACCACGTCGACCTTAGCAACCCCGGAATCAAAATGCCTTCTGGAGAACAGCCCAAGAGCGGCCCCACCTACCTCACAACCGGCCTAGTTCAGGACCCGCAGATCTCCATTTTTGCTGGCTACCTGAGAGACGACACCGAGCTCATCAAGCGGCTTAACGACGGTGATTCTTACACAGTGGTGCTTGCGCCCTCCAACGCCGCAGTGGCATCTCTGGCCCTCAAACCCTGGCAGTTCCCCAACGCTATCACAGGAAAGTCCGAGAAGGACAAAGACGCTCTTGCCAACGAGAACATCTCGTCGTTTGTGGCCAACCACGTTGTCGTCGACACCCAGCTCGTGACCACGTTTGACGTTGTCAAGCGAGCCCGAACCCTGTCTGGCCTGGAGATTGAGATTTTCACTGAGAACAACAAGATTCTGGTCAAGTCCAACGACTCCACCAGCACCGTGACCAAGATCATCCAGACCAACAACGGCGCCATCTGGGTGATGGATGAGTCTCTTGTCAAGCCTGAGTTGGCCTAACGGAGATATGGATATACTAACAGGGAGGTTTATGATTTATAGTGTAATGGATTGAGTATTGTGTGAATGGTAGAGTAGATATCCACAGGCGTGGATCTATAACCTCCAAGATAAAATAGGATGGTGTGATGGCGACGCTGTGTCTGAGGTTGGTTCAATTAATTCTTTTGTATACGAACCTGCTAGACTACCCACAGTTCAGCCCCCTCTGTCTACAGAACAACAAAGTTAAGTCACTGGCCAGGTGCATAATCAAACACAGTACGAAATACTCTTTACTCAACACCACACTACACTCACACACACAAGCACACGCAACTAGATGCCATCTGTTGTGAAATCGTCGGACGCCAGCGTGGCAGTGGCGCTGCACCCTCTGCCATTGCTCAACATTTCGAATTTCTACACACGAGCGGTCGCCACGTCGACGGAGTTTGCAGGCGCATTATTGGGTACCCAGGACGGACGGCAGGTTAGCATTGACACCTCGTTTGAATTCAAAATTGAGGACGGGGTGATTGACAAGGAGCTGGTGACGCGGCGGCTCGCACAATTCCAGCAGGTCATGCCGGAGCTTCATTTCGTGGGCTGGTTCTACGTCTCTAAAGATCACACATCCCCCACCGATGAGGTTACCCATCTGCAGAAGCAGTTGATGGAGTTTGACGAGGCGCCTTTGGTTCTTCTCATTCAGCCCGGATCGGACTCTCAGCAACTTCCTCTTCATGTCTACGAGCCTATCATCGATAGTGGAGAGACAAAGTACAGAGAGGCGACCGTGGTGATCGAGACTGGAGAGGCCGAGAGAGTAGCAGTGGAAGACCTTGTGCGGGAAACCAGCCAGCATGCTGCCTCGGAACGAGTCAGGCAACATCTTGTCAGCCAGCATGCTGCGGTCAAAATCTTTAACGGACGAGTTAAGACGGTGCTGGATTACGTCAAGGGCGTGAATGAGGGCTCGATTGTCCCAGACCAGCGCCTGCTGCGGTCGTTGCGATCGATTCTGTCGCAGCTCAGTGCATCTTCTAATAGCGAGCTCAAGGACAGTCTTCAAGAGTCGCAGGCTCTTACTGCTGCTTTCCTGGCCACTGTGTTTCAGGGCACCCAGCTTACTGCCAGTCTCAAGGCTCAGGGTCTCTTGATGGACCGGCCAGCGAAAAAGTCGCTACGACGGCGACGAGGCGAGGCTCGCGACTTTATGCCCCAGCGAGCCAAAAAGTGGGATGGCGACACGGACGACGATTTTGAGATTCTCGTTTAGCTTTACTTACGTATCGTGATGATTTATTAAGCATTTTAACACACGTGGTTTTTGTTACTGTAATTATTGTAGTGTAGAGTGTACATACACTGTGCGGTAAAATAAATACGTTTGTGTCGATTCAAATGAATTATGTATCTATGTCGTATTGGTATTGTATACATGTGCCCGAAAGAGAAGGCACCCAGTGATTTATAGCCTTGTTCATTTGTAATTACTCCCCCCAGGTAGGAGCTTGTCCTCCTTCATTCCAAGCTGGACCCTCGTTATCATTAACTACCCTCACCTTGACTGGTCTAGAGCTCTCCTCTCCGTCTGGATCGGGCCGCTTCATCACCAGCTTAAGAGAAGGAGCTGCATCCTTGTGTTTGGTGACCACCACCTGGTAGAGAGAGTAGCTGCGTGCCTGGCAGCCAATGCAGTTGTGTAGAATTTCGTGGCAGAAGACGTCACAGTCGATGCAAAAATGAGAGTGGCAGGTGGGACACTCATACCGTGACGTCATGGAGCCATCGGCTTGGATGTTTTTTGCATCTCTTGCCACCACTGGGAACTTGGATTGACAGCCTGCACAGAATTCAGACTTGTGTGCGTTCTTGCAGGGGACTTCAATAAATGGAGCCAGGGGGAAAAGATGGTGATACGATCTGGCCAGATGGGTGGACAGAATAAGTGTGAGACCACAGCAGGGGCAGACTGTGGGGAGTGAAGACACCTTGACCTTACATTGCGGACAGACGTATCCACCTTGTGTGAGAGCTGCATCGGAGGCCGAAAGAGAGGGAGCTGCTTCTGAAACCTTTGAAGGAAATCCCATGAGCACCAGGGATGCTGGATTGGCGCTCTGGCTTTGTTGTGACTCTGCCAAGGGTGTAGTAGCCTCGTCCATGAGCTCCTGGAAATGCTGTTCGTTCAGCACGACACCATAGTATGAAGCGTCTCCAAAGTTGGTTTTGACACACAGTTCCTTGCAGATCGCCACCTGCGCCGCCAGACCAATGACTCGGGCTCGGACCTTGTCAATAACGAGCTTGTCGATGGTTACGTGGATATCTCCTGGGTCAGCCGACAACAAGGCACCCAGAACAACCAGTACCTCCTTAGTGCAATGAGAAGGCACATGGAAAAGCAGACCTCGAGCCATTTCAAGAGCATTTTGAAGAGATGGATCACCTTGAGGCTCGAGCTTTTTGGCTGCCGTCAGGGCGTTAATGTGGTCGTTGGGGTTACTGCCCAATGTCGATATGCTGATTGCCTGTCCGTTTCTCATGCCCAGAATTCCGAGCTGAGAAATGGGATTCTGGTCGAAGAAGTTGGTTACGAATTCAATGGCATGGTTAATGACAAATTGGTACCTGTTTGGTCTGAGATCGGACTCTTTCATGGCAAACGAAAAGTCGAGCACCAAAATCAGGTTTCGAATGATACCTCTCTGGAACGGAGTTGCATCCTTGATGTGTCGTTTCTTTCTTGCTTCCACAAGACCCGCCACCGAGCCTGCCAGCGATCCTCCCTCGTCCTCTTGCACGACGTCCCAAGATCTATGGTATTCGTCTTCCCATGAGTATCCTCCATTGGCCATCTTCATGTTCTCCACCGAGCCTCCGGCGCCCTTGGGGGCCTGGTTTCGTCGCGACCGCCGAGGGGCACCCTGGTACTCGTCTCCACTAATGTTTTCAATGTAGTCGTCGTCCGAGTCGTCCATGGTGTGCTGAGATGTGTACTCGTACCCGTACTAGATAAGAGTATGAAGAGATGAGTGTTGTATGCATGCTTGCCATACAACGGAAGAAGCAGGACGTCGATACAAGGCGGCATTAGAATAGGTTTAAAGATTTGAAAGCAATTCTAAGTGGATTATTCGCCGTCGAAACAAATTTACAGAAATTAATATAGCCACTCCACTTCTCCGCCATCTCATACACCGCTGTCTCTTGGCTGGGTCACATGACGAAGCTAATTTTTGGAGTATGGTTTCTGTCATACTCTAGTCAACACCCACACGTCGGAACGTTCATCACGTCGAACAAAAATCACCACACATCTCATCGAACCCAGACACCAACACAAAGACAACATGTCGCTCATACAAGACATTTTGGACGTGTTGCTAGCCGACGCCGTCGGAAAGACTGTGCTCTCCACAAAGGCAGTGCCCCAGGTGTCGCCTCAGTCCACAAACCTGTCGGTGCTTGCAAGCTATGCCCAACACAACGTTGCTGATCTGACCTCGGTATCCGAGAAGGCGTATGATTCGGTGCGCAACTTGTACGTGGACGTCAAGACCGCAGCCGTCCAGGCTCTGGTGGCGCTGCCAATTGGCTCGGAGAAGTATCTGGAGGTGGACCGGTTCTTCAAGTTTGCCGCAGCCCTCATCATCCGAGAAGGCTCGCGGATGGACCTGTTTGGAGGCAAGGACCCCGAGGATGTGGTACCCGAGGACGTGACGGAGTTCGAGGAGGAAATCGTGGCCGACTACGCCGACTTGACTGCGGACTTGGAGTCGTGGAGCGCAGAATCGTTTCTGGTCATGGGCCAGAATGGACCTCTGTTTTCGACGTTGTCCACCAAATCGGCCATCGACCCGCGCCCAAGTATAACCCCGGGCGCGTTCCAGGTAACCAACGTACTGCCACGTACCCGGTCGGTTCCGGCCTACCAACTGGGCTACCTCACACCTGCCGTGTCGCGACTTCCACACCCAGCCCTGCCTCCGACAGAGATGATGACGCACTTTGTGCACCCCAACGGCTCCGAGTTGGCGCCCAGCCGGTTCCTGCGGATGGACGCAAACTCGTCCTTTGCCCCCACTAGCGACAGTGGTAAGGCCGTCTACGACCCCGCTTCAACCGGAGCTCTGTGGTACGAGAAGGTTGGGCGACTGCGAGAAAGCGCCATCGACGACGCTCTTGGAAAGAACGACACCAAAAAGGAGGATACTAACGACGTGGAGATGAATGACGCGACTGAGGCTAAGGTGGAGGGACAGGAAGAGGAAGAGGAGAAGGGGGGACAGGGAGAGGAAGAGGAAGACCTCCAGCCTCTGTTTAGAGATGAAGATGTCGACCCCTCCAAGGATCTGCCCATGGAAGACATTCTCCAATGGCACCCTCGAAACTTCATTGACGACGACGAGTTCGAAGCCATCAAAACTGGCACCGAGCTCGAGTTTGTCAGCAGACTCATGCTCCAACTGCAACAACTCCAGGCAGACCGTTTGGCCACACCTGACATACCTCCACCAGTGTCGTTTGAGGAGCGACGGCTTGCAATGAAAATCGAGGGTGTGTTGGGACGGCTGCTGCAATCCACCGAGGGCATCGACATTGCTAACTCCAAGATCAAGCCTTCCACTAACATCCCTGCTCTCAAAACAAACTATCTGGGTGTTTTGCCGGCCCCTGAACCTCCAAAGCCCATTTCTTCCGTCGGACGTCTACCTTCTGGTCCCAAGACCCGACGGGCTAAGCGGTAGATGGGTGAGATAGAACGGTGATATTTGGGGGAGACGCCATGGCGTGACTCCTGGCACGGGCTGCCAGGACCTGTATTAGTTAGGATAATGTATGTTTAGTAATTTTCCGGGGTGTGAAACAATCTAAATGCTGTCAGCTAGAATAGGTCAAGATCGACGGGTAGCATCACAAGTACATACTGTACTGTATGTACTTGTACTTGTACGTACTTGTAGTTGTATGTAAATTAAGTAGTTGATTCTACACGCTTCTCAAGTTGGCTCTATTACAATGCTGTAACTAGACTAATACGTATGTTAAGAAGTGGATGTGTGTAAGGAGCATTTAATGTCGAAATAACTGGTTTAAGGAAGCGCACAACGCTTTTGTACAGCCATGAGCTCCACTGTCATCTCTGTATACGAATCACGCTACGGTACTACTCGTAGCTATATCTCGTTGTTACTCATTCATATATTATAATAAAAGTGATCAACTCCGTTATAGAGGAACGTCAGCACCCATGGCAATAGAGATGATCAAAAACAAGTTAAGAGCAGAGACCATACCAAACACTAGGTAGGCGATGAACTGAGTGGTGGCTGAGTTGCTCATGTCGACGTACTCGGGAATGCAGATGGACTCGTCGTCAGTAGAGGCCTCGTCTTCGACCATGCCGTATCCATTGCTGGATCGGTCAGCAGGAGTGAGAGTACCGTTGGAGTTGCTTCGAGGTCGGGTGTGGACGACAGCAGCGTTGGCAGCTACCTTCATGATCTTCTTCGAACCGGTGAAGTAGATTAGAGGAGCAGATACCATGGGCAGCAGCAGGGAGAGAACAACCTGGGAGGCGTTCAGCACGTCCGCCAGACCTTTTCGGCCGACAAATAAGGTCACAAACAGACAGGGAACAATTGCGATGGATCGGGTGATGAGCCGTCGAATCCAGGGCTTGAAAGACCATCGCAGGAAACCCTCAGACACCATCTGGCCAGAAAGAGTGCAGACAATACCAGCAGACTGTCCAGAGGCCAGAAGAGCCAGAGCAAACACTGTACCAGCAGCAGGCGACAGAATTGTTCGTAGCATGTCGTAGATGGAGAAGAGGTCAGCGTCGTAGGCGTCGGGAGACCCGTTCAGGGTGGAACCAGCCACAATAAGAATGGCGGAGTTGATGAAGATGGCAACTGTGAAGAGAGAGATTACCAGCTCGGCAATAGAGTACTTCATCGCGTACTTGATTGCGTGGATAGAGGGCTTGTACTTCAGGTCCTCGTCATCGTCTCCAAATCGAGCATCTTCGGGAATGGCGTATCCGTTGTCCTCGTCATATTCACGGAGACGAGGCTGAACAAGACCAGAACCCAGGTACAGAGAGTGGGGCATGACAGTGGCTCCGAGAATACCACAGGAGAGGTATAGGCCGTTGGTTTCGAGCAACTCCTTGGATGGGAGGAAGCCTTCAAGCACGAGAGGAATGTCGAGGTTGTCGAGCGCAGCGAGCTCAAAGGCAAAACAGACAACTACCACGGCGACAAGACCAGCCACGCCGTACTCAAAGTACCGCACAATGCGCATGGGGCCGTTGGGTCGGTAGGCCATGAGCACAATGAGGACATCAACCACGGTGACCAGAACACCCATGAAGAGAGGGAGACCAAAGAGAATGTTGAGGGAAATGGCAGTACCAACGACTTCAGCGAGATCAGTGGCGATAATCGCAATTTCAGCCATGACGTAAATGGAGACAGAGAGCCAAGGAGGAAGGTGCTGTCTGCAGTTTTCAGCCAAATCAAGACCAGTGACAGATCCGAGCTTCACACACAGCACCTGCAGGAAGACGGCAAAGAGGTTGCTGACAAAAATGATGAACAGCAGCTTATATTGGTACATAGCTCCGGCGGACACGGCCGTGGAGTAGTTACCGGGGTCCATGTACGCCACGGAGACCATGATTCCTGGTCCCACAAACTTGCCGTACTTGGACAGAATCCGCATCATATTGCCCCAGGTTGACAGGGGCTTTTTGTTGGGGTCGGCTGATCCGGATGCGGTGAGGGGAGTCGACTCGTTGGAGTCGTCAGAGTTAGAGCTGTTGTCAGACATGTTGTTGAGAGACGAGGTGGATCGTCTCAACTGAATGCCGAGCGAGCTCTCACTCAGGCCCCTATTCTGGTGACCCGGGCGGGAGCGCCTGGAGGGGCGTGAAGCCGAGCGCGTATTTTGGCCTCCGGCTAGGTCGGAGTCTCCCATGGCGTTTGCGAGGCCCTTGGCGCTCAGCTTCTTGCCGGACTCGGCTCCGGAGTTGTTCTTGTTGAACGATTTGTTGTTGTTGAGCTCGTTGTCGAACTGTGGCGGCTGCTGGTTGAAGCCAGGCACGCCCTTAGGGTCGGGATCACGAGTTGGGCAGTTCATGTGTGGAGGTATCGCAGTGGTGAGCAAATGTGACTTTGTCTCTATAAGTTAGGCGGAGTAGGTTCTTGGTGCAGAATAACGGTGGGGTGTGGTTGTGTCTGTGTTGTGAGCGTGTAGTACTAAGTCTTTACCTATTACTTGTGTTGCTTCGTGTCGTAGGTCCTCACTTGTGTCGTCTGCTCACTGCGGGGTCGTCACAGTTCATAAATATGTAAGAGATCATGCACCTTGGGGATTCTTACATTTCGGGAGGAGCCGGGTCCAGTCGGAAGAAATAGTCCAATCAACAGAAGTCTAAATAAGAGAAAAACCGACTGCAATGTTCACAATGTAACCACCACGGGGAAAATGGAAGACAAGCTTAGGAACGAAAAATGGGCTATGGAGCGGAGTAGACAGAAAATAAGGAGGCCCTATGTTGCTCCAACTATATTCGAAAGCCCACATATATATACGTGACTCCAGTCCCACCCACCCACCTCCACCTCTGAAGATCCCCATATCCATATATACGAGTAGTTGTACCAGTACGTACTTGTAGGTGGGCCAGTGGGTCCACATTTTTGCTCCTTTCGCTCTCTCCTAATTTTGCTCCTCCTACAGTAAAGTTGAGGTTCGGATTAACCTCCCTCTCCCTTTGATCGTGCGTGGGACACGAGTGGCTAAAACGTTTTCGTGCCGAAAAGCTTAGTGAGATTGGACTGTAGTTATAGCTCTAACGACAGTGATATGCAAGAATGGCACGCGAAATGGCCCGAAAAGCGCATTTGTAACGCATGTCAAGAGGGGTTTCTTCCGCTACTCGTACCGGTAGTTGTTCCGACGTAGCATTCATGATATCTGAAACAGCGCTTATAGCTGACGTTCATTTTTTTGTCCTTGAATAACACACCACTGCACCATTTAACCTCTTTATCGTGATACAGTACTTGCTCAACAGCAACCACAGCAAGGTTCATAATATCCAGATGAAGGAGTGAGAGAACCAGCATAAACACTGCAAAGTTAAGTCGTGTGACCGCACGGTGACGTACAGTACCTACAGTATGAGTGTGTATTCAAGTCTCTCGAAAGGTGGAGGAGAGAAGCCGCAGAGGCAAGCGGTGCCACGTGATTAGACCGGATTTAGTTCCCCAATAAAAAAATTACAAATTCTCCCAAGATTGGGTCTCCATCACCTCACTTTTTCTAGTGTTTACTATTGCGGCTGAGACCGCCAATTTCCCTACAGTACGCGTACATTAGGCACATACGATATGACGCCTTGGCGGAAGTTTATTACCACCACTTACATACAGGGCGTGGGCTGTGGTCATGCTCGTACGACCACGACTACAGTACGACTACAAGATATAAATTGCTCTACGGAAAAGACAACATGGGACTAGAAAAGCGATTCGGACCTCGGTCAGACCAAATCACTGGACGTCAACATATCAAAGGCCAGCTGACATTTGAAGTAAAGTGGAACCAGGCAGCAGCAAAAGATACCACATGGAGAGATATCCAAAGGTCGAGAGCAGCAGAAGCACTCAAACATGGACACTCCATATGGAATGATACTGTGTTAATAGCAAGCGAAATGTGAGTGAGAAGTTGCGCACGATTCATGGCATATGTGTGCCCCGCTAGACCAGAGGCATACGCCCAAGAAGCCATGGTCTCACCTGGGATCATGATGCAGACTTTACCAATGTGGTTCTTCTTGGTGTGTCATGGACGGTAGAAGTGGGTACTTGCTCGTGCTTATGAGGGTCCACACCCGCATCTGTGGAAGGATTGGTGTGTGGATATCGATCGATACTGTCGAGAGATACCCACGGGGAGGTAGGAGACCGAGACAAAACCGAGGTGGTGGCCCATAACGACGAAAGTGTAGTTATAGATGGATGTTAGCAAGGGTAAACTCTTCGTCGGTGTGAGATTATTTTATTTTTTTTGCATCATGGCTGCTGCTAGCCGGTGGGTTGGAGTGAGTCTCGACTCCGCTTCCCTTAAGTGAGGCATAAAACTGACTACAGACCTTGTGGGAAAGACACTCCAGTCCACCAGACGTGGATGTGGCACAGGCGGTGCAGCAGACACCTGTTTGCCGCAGTGTTATCCACACCTTTGCATCACCATGGTGCAACGGAAGAAGAAGTACTTACGGGGAGAGACAATGTTGTAAATGTCTCTGTGGCCGTTGAGTCCATATCCCTTTGTCGGGCTTTCGACACTGTGCGCTGAACAGCGGCTGTTGTGTGTGTGGAGTGCAACCATCGATGAAAGACATACATGGTCGGGTCAATTATGATTCTGAGTTAGTAGAAGGACAATACTATTGTCATCTCACACCTGAAGGAGACATCCAGAAGAGTGCAGACTCTCAGGCCACGGGTTAACACCGGTGCTGACGAATGCCGATACCTTACTGGTAAGATATCTAGAAAGTGCAGATGGACTGTGACAACATGTGGATACTCACGGAACCCCAGTTTCTGTGGTTTATAACCCACACAAGATCAGGCGGTATTGCTCAGAGACTGTGGCAGTCTCCCAAGGCTTCGTTTCTTGTGCTATAGATGTGTGGTTGGGGAATTTCGCGGGTCAGGTCGAGACTGTTGAAGAAGGGAAGAAGAGGGAAAGGGATGGCTATATACAGTAGGCTGTGAGACCAGTTTATGTCACGTATGCACAGGATAGTAAGGTGAACCCTGTGACAAAATCGATCATGGAGTGAGAGGGTGTGTCGAGGATCTGATTCTATATAATACTGTTTGGTGAGTATATAGATGAGGAATTCCGGGATAATATCCAACCAACCAACCAACCAACGCCTCTATTTATCCATATTATGAAATTATATACTTCTTTAACGACGTAATAGATGCCTTAAAGCCAGTATTTCTGTAGGGGGAGCCTTCCTCTCTACTAGGTTAACTAAAATAAGATGTTTCTAACGGATGTAAACAAATCTGAGGATGTAAACAAACCTCAAGAGTGTCAACCAATTTGAGAGTGGCACAACCAGATTTGGGATGGATGGTGAGACAGTGAGGGGTGACATCAAGCTTGGGAAACATTTTTGATTATTGTTTCGTTGTATTCATTTCTTTTCAATTATTCATACGGTCCAACCATCCCACCTCTTCGAAGTTCTGTATTGTACCAGTACAAGGTACAGTATGTACAGGACACACTTCAAGTCTACATACCTTATACCACATCTAACCTTATTTTCTAACCCTGACTAACCCCTAACCAACCAAAAACCTTATTATAATAATGAAAAAAAAGGGGAAAAATTTGAAACCACACATTATTGTGAACAGAGAGAAGAAAACAAATTATCATAAAATTCTTCATGGCTGATTGTATCCAATAATATAGTAACATCCAAATTTTGAGCTGAATTTAAGGAGATTATACACGTTTTTTCTCACTTTTGCTGGATTTCCGCAAGATATGCACCTTCATTGCAGGGGAAACTCTGCAACTGGAGTCGTGAAAGGAGAAAGTTGCCTATGGTCCTCTTGACATAATCACGCTATATTCAGTGGTCGAATCCATGAAGAGATGATTGATGCTGACTGGATTGAAAGGCACAATCCCTCTCATGATGCTCATACCATCATTTTCATCTTTACAACCACTTCCTTACTTTTGTTCTTGGTGAGGGATGAATTCATATTTATAGGACTTGTCCAAAGGGTATACTATTATAGAGCCATATGTTTTGAGAAGTCCTATAATATAGGTTTTATACAACCATATCTTGATTTTATGAAAAAATGTTGTTCACAGACCGATATGAAGGTCAAGAAGTTCATTGTGTAATGAACTTCATTTTTATTGGTTTGGATCCTTTGTATAGTATTCCTCCCAACATTGTATATGAAACTTCATTTTTATTGTTTTGGGACCTTCAGGTAGTATTACTCCCAACAATAATAATTTAAAACTATATCTGACGATACTAATTTATATGGCGTAATACCTCAAAGATAAAAGAAAAAAGGTAGACACTAGTGGCAGAATTCCTTGATGAAGGTCTACCGTTAGCAGTTGGGATAATCAAACGTGTTTAGGAACATAATTCCATTAAGAAGAACAAATGACCTAGCAGTAAAGCTAGCACAGTAAACGATTGGCAAATCCCTCAATCAAGGAATTCCACATCCATGTATAACAAATCTCATAAATAGTACTAGTAGTCTCATAAGCATGTCTGATTAACATCTTCTTTCAGTCACCTCGTATATCAAAAATTCTGGTCCCTGATGCAGGGCTTCACATAAGTTTGTCGCGTCTTTTGAGAATTTTGGAGACTGTCCTTTGGTGGAACGAGCTGTTTTAGTCGCGTGTGACCTCCATACAGGGACTGAAAGTCTATTACATGTATATATATATATATATGAACAGCTGTCCGCGCAGCACGATAGTAACATTTTAAAACATTTCCTCCTGACCAACAAGCAGAGGGTCCATCCCGAACACAATGGAAGAACTTCCACGTGCAACAGATAACGCTGACCGCATGACAGAGGAACTTGCCAGCAGAGACATGACTACGGTTTCCCGCACCAACAGCACTGAAGATGACTCGGGTCATGATGATGATGAGTTGGCGTGCCCTGAGCCTAAACACCCTATTTTCGACCATCCAGCTTACATCAACAACTCACCCTACCCACCCGTGGTTAAAGGCTACACTAGTGAAGCATCCGCAGATGATGTCTGGAAATGGCTAGACGTTGCAGCGCGAAGGCAGTTCTTTGCGCACGTGAAGCTACCGGTAACATCTGCTATTGTATGTGATCGCAAGATCTCGATCATTCCACTGGCATGTTGCCATTCAGGCTGTGAGTATCGCGTGAGTATTTTAGAACACAGTGCAGACAGGGCAGAGGTCGCATACAATGAGTTGAAGATCCTCAAGGCCATGGACAAACATCAGCACAAGCCACGCGATATCATCGAGGAAGAGGAGACATTCAGTTTGATCGAAAATTGTGAGA